TCCATAATCAGCTGGCTCCAAGGCAGAGGGACATGGCAGGGGGCAACAGTTCAAGGTGGCAGAAGATAGAAAAAGCAGCAAGAGCCAAAGGGCAAGAGCAGAAGACTCTGTACCTCATAGTGTATGTAGGTACCCATCCTAGGGTGGGCATAGCACTCACACCCGTAATTTACACATTGCCCTTTCAGGGTACACTGCTGACCTCCCAAGCCTTCTAAAATCTAGTGGAAGCCTTCTTAACCTCATAACTCTTGCATTCTGCATGTGCCTAAAACCAGTGTCATGTGGATGATGCCACCCCACAGTCTGCTGCTAGTTGAAGTAGTAGCCAGGCTTTTTTCACTCTTGACTGTAGGGGTCAAGTACATGGATTGATGAGTATTAATGAGTCTCATTCTGTGGAACAGATTCTCTGTGCTGCTATCAGTCTGGAACCTAGTATGGCTACTGCCATTCTGGAACATGGCATTCTACGGCTTTGTTCTCAAAGCAAGATTCTTTCACCTTTGCAGTTTTGAGGCTGCAAAAGGTGATGACTTGCTGCTTCTTGTGATGCCCTAAGGCCATCTTTTGTATTCTCCAGTTCTTTCTCAGCAATGAGATTTCCTCAATTCTTTGTACTCCACAGCCTTACTGGAGCTTCCATTCTGTCCAAAATTATGTTTTAAATCATTCTGCTGGATTCTTTGCTCTTGATTCTCAACATAAACCTGGCTAAAAGCCCCTAGCAACCACGCCATTGCCTCAACATTCAACTGCCTTGAAACGTCTCCTGCCAGATTAAATAGTCCACTGACCTTAATGTTAGTCTCAGGCAAAATCTCTGGACATGACCAAAATGTTTTTTGCCAAGACATAACACCATCTTGAGTCCAATAGCCAATGCAGTCCTTCCCAGCAAAGACCTCGTGAGGCTCTCCTCAGGAACCTCTCCTGGTCTTTACCTGCCAGATTTCTTTCAGCTTTCTGGTTTTTCAAGCTCTGACCAGAATTTCCCATACAGAACAGCATATGGCATTCCAGGCAACATCTCAGAACCCTTTCCAAACTCTTCCCACAAGCCATTCCCAAAGGCTTGTGAACCACATGTTTAGGTGTAGTCATAGTAGTGACCCCACTTCTGATACCAAATTGTCTTACTTTTTTCTTGTTGATGAGACAAAATACTTGATACCCACAATTAAGGAGGGAAATGTTTATTTAGCTCACAGTTTGTATAGTTTTCAGTCTGTAATCAGCTGGCTCCAAGGCAGGGTGGCATAACAAAAGAGCAGTTGTTCAAGGTAGCAGAAGACAGCAGATGCAACAAGAACAAAAGTGGAGAAGCACAAGAGGAGACAATTTCTGTCACATTGTATGTAGGTTACCCACCCTAGGGTAGGTGTAGCATTCATACCCATAATCCCAGCACTAGACGATGAATCAATCACAAACTAGACTCAGTTGCCCCCACAAAGCAACCCCCACGATTGCATGAGGTTTTGGGGGGATGTCCAGATACAAACATAGTAACTTCATTTACATCTTCCTTATTTTCTAGGAACTCTTACATCTAGGAGCACCCTTGATTTTTATATCCAAGTTTGCTGCATGATCAGGGTTCCCAACAAAGGGTAAATTTTAAGAGTTATGTGGCCATATCACTTCATTTTAACTTTTTATTCAGGACATAGTAGCACAATGATACCTTGCTTGTCTAGTCTTAGACTGAACAGGGCTAAGGGCCAGTGATGTCTCATAGTACTGATTGAAATATGCAGCATGGTTACTAGTACCTGACATAGCTTAGAATTTCACCTCTTTTTGCGTAATGGAGTAGATATGGGAGACCAGGTCAGCTTTGGGAGTAGTGTATATCCAAGGTAACAAGTTTATATTTTAGATACAAAATAATGAACATGTATTGAGCTTGTTTTACAAAACTTGAACTGTGTGTATTTGGAGATGGGGCTGTTGACTTTTTGGCTTTGTGAAGTAGATGTAAGCAAGCTCAAGCCCCTGGGGAAGAAGAGTGATTAAATGGGCTGAGGATGTGCTTTGGTAGTAGAGCACTTCTGTAACATACACAAGGCCCTAGATTTGATCAACTCTAAAAAAATCAAAGAATCAATAGGACAATTAAATAACACTGACAAGTGCAAGGTATCATACTGAAGGCAAGAGTGTTGAAGGTCTGTGGACTCATGGGGGTTGGAGCAGTAACAGGAATGGATTAGGCTTCCTTGAATTTTGATCCAGATTTGAAAAAGAAAAGATTTTGAAAACAGGTGTTGTGACATTTCAAACTAAGTAAGTGCCAAGGGATGACATATGCACAATAGGAGAATAATGGAGATTTTTTTTCCCCCAGCACTGCCCCTCATGCAAATAGAGCCTCAAAGACAGCACTACTGAAACAAGTCATCTACAGATTTGTATGTTTCTCTTCAAATCAACTGGTGCTGCAGTTGAGGTGTGCAGAGTGGAGATTCCAGGTGTGGAGAATTGGCAGAGAGGATGAGAAAACAGTATCTAAGAAAAAGGCTAACCGAAAGAAGACAGGAAAAAAGGAAGATTTAACAAAAACCCTCACAAGACTAACTGAATGACTGGGAAGGGTCTTGGGACTTTTCATAGGTGGGAGAGCTGGAGGTACCAGTGATCAGAGAGAAGCTAAAAGCATTGCAGGCAAGCAAGTGGAGCAGAAATGTCTACGGAACAGGGAAACCACAGTTTAAAATGGTAGTTTTTCATATTTGCTGTCATTTTACCAGTACACTGTATTCCTCCCCCCGTTTTGATTTTAAAAGCTTATAAGTGAAATAGGGTTTTTATATAAAATGTTTTAAAAGTAAAATATGCACATATTAAAGCATGTGAACAGCACAATGTGAATGGAAGGGAAGCCCTGACTCCCACCCCCTTACTTTTTATTTTTCCCAGTACTGGGGATTAAACCCAGCCTCCTGCAAGCTAGGCAATCTCTCTACCATCCAGTTACATCCCCAGAGAAATCCCTCCCTTCTCTACAATACTGTTATCACTTTTTAATTTTGCTCTAGCCAGAGACATTTGTATCTTTGTCTTTACAACTATACAAGAGGTGATCAAATGTCTTCATGGAGTGTTATCAAAACCGATGGTGTAGCTGCCCTGTACCATCTAACTGGAAAGCAGGCTCTTAAAAAAACATTACAGTGCATCCTCATCTATGTTGTTCATAGGATCTGGCCCTATGCAACTTTTGGCTCTTCCTCGAAGTCAAAATGGTCATGAAAGGAAACGTTTTGAGCTGATTCAAGCCAAGACAGCTACAGCAGAGCAATTAGAGACACTTATGAAAGAGGACTTTTAGAACTGCTTCAGAATGTGGAGGAACAATGGATGTGTTCAAAGCGAGGAGGAATATTTAGAGGGGCAATATTTAGAGGGGCTTAATGGCAATGGGTCTTTTATTGTAATACCCTTTTAAAAATTTAAAGGTTCACTATTTTTGCTCAGCCCATATATGCCTGCCTGGAATTTTACTTTTTTTCGGAGCAGCAGCACACAGACTCCATATGTTTTATACTTTTGGAACACTATATTTTAAGCATTGTTTCTCATTAGTACATTCTTTTTAACTGCTGCATAGTATTCCTTGGTAAAGATGTACTTTTTGGGAGCTATTTAGTTACAAGTCTCTAATATCTCTGTAAATGCTTCTGTGCACACATGTACAAATGCAAATATTAGAGTTGTAAAATTTCCTTTGAAACACATGCAAATATTAGAGTAGGAACATTGCAAAATTTCCCTTCAAATAGGCTACACCATATACTTGTCTGTACTATCGCAAAAACAAAAAAAAAAGCTTCAAAGTGTCTAGTTACCTACATTTTGCCAAGTTAACTTATTTTAGGCTTTGTTAATAAAGTGGAAAATATCTCAGGGAAGTTTGACTTGTGTAAGACCTTCAAAATTTATTTCCACCTAAAAAATCTATGATCTTTACCTCATGCTACAAAATCTAATTCCCTTCTCTCTGTGAATTAAGAAGTTTTACATCAAAGCGCTATCCAGGTGTGCAGATGTGAAATTTCTGCTGGCAAGCAATTATTTAACCCAAAGTCTAGTATCAAAAACAAAGAGATCTGTAACACTTTTCAGCGTTTGAGCCTTTAGATAACGTGGCATACGATGTTGGGCATGATTTAGGTACCCCAAATTATCTAGACGTTTGTTGTTTTCCTCATTTTTCCCTAAGCTTCTGCAGCACCTGTGGGAGGAAAGCTTTCTGGGTCCAGCCTCTGCCTTAGGGAGTCCAGATCGGAACCGCCCAGTTACCGCCCGGCGAAGGGCTTGTCCTCTCAGTCCGTGAGTTGACAGATTCGATTAAAGACAAAGCTTGATCCAGACTTGTTCTCCCCTCGGGCGCCGCGCCCCACGCGCCTCCGCCAGCGGCTGCCCTGGGTCCTGTGATCCGCGGGGCGGCGGCGCTCGCAGGCCGAAGCAGGGCGCGCTCGGGAACTGGGACCCCGCTTACCGCGCCGCCGCCCCGCAGACTCCACCCTTGCCGGATCCACGACCCGAGCCCCGCGCCCCGGGGTGGGCCGTCGCCGCGTGACTGCCGGAAAGCGCGGTGCGGTGCGGTGCAGAGGGCCTGGGGACCACGCGGGACGTGAAGTTCCCCAGCCAAGCCACGCCGCAGAGCACGGCCAAGAGTGGGCGCGGCCGCGGCGCTCGGAGCTGCGGCAGCCGCCGTGACTGGCGACACGCGAGCCACACACACACACACCCGCCTGGCGCCGCCCTCGGCCTCCACGCGCTCGCTGCGGCCTTCTGCTGCCACCCAGCCGGGACGGCAAGCGAGGTAGGAAGGCGGAGGCCAGAAGGAGACCCCGGCGCGCCGGGGCGCAGGACCACAACCCCTCTCGGCCGGCTCGGACGCCCGTAGCCCCGCCCCGAACCCCGCCCTCTTTGTGCGGCGGGCGCCGTTGCCCGGGCGACAGCGCCGCCCCGCCCCGCCCCGCCCCGCCCTGCTCTCGGCTGGGTCCGCCGCCCAGCCGCAGTCCGCAGGAGCCTCAGCCGCAGCCGGCCGCGGGGCGGGGTTCCCGGGGCGTCGCAGGGAGCGAAGCTTCGCGCCTGTGCTTTCGCCCGCCCCGGCTTGTCCGTTTCCGCGTCGGTCCGCTGGCGGACCAGCTGGCCCTGGGGCCCCGAGCCCAGGCTCCTCCGCCGCCTCAGGGCTCCGCCCACCAGACCTGCCCGCCGGACCCCGCCGTTGATGACACCCAGGGGGGTTCGCCATGGAAGGAGACACCGCGGAGCCGGCGGTGAGTGGCTCGGGCTCGCGCCCCGGCACCCCTGGGGGGCGCCCTGCACACGAGCCGCCGGGGCGTCGCGGGCTCCCGGGGGGCGCCGGGCTCGGGGCGCGCGCCCCTTTGTCTGCCTGAGTTGCGGGCGCTCGGTCCGGGGCGGGGCGCAGCGACCCCGAAGTTTCCAGGGACCTCTGCGGAGGCTGTGGAGTAGTGAGCCCCCACAGCACATTTCTTTTAGTTGTTTCCTCTCCGTGGATATAAAATGAATACGTTTTTATTTTGTGTAGGAATTACTTTTGATATTCATCGTAATGAAAAAGCCGAATTCACGACATTGTTACTTGACGTGCAAGAATAATGGAAGTAATTTTAGGTATTCCAGTGGAGGTTCAACCCATGGTTGGGTTTCAGCCCATGCCCTGGTTTTATGGGGTGCGAGCATCTATTTTGGCCTTTCAGATAGTATTTTCCTTTGAATTACAGTTGAGCTCTGAAATGAGGCAAGACGTGAATATGCTGCATTCTTCCGTGTGGATTGTGAGGTGTGGTTATCTTATTTCATTAAGATCGTGACATGATGTGGACTTTATGAAGTATTGAATGATGCAGCATAACGCCCTTCTTTGAAAGATTCATTCTAACCAGGGTAAAGCCAGTGGGCTGAGTGCGTGAAATGTAAGCGGTGGCACTGTGTGTCACTTTATAGGGGCTGAAGTTAGCAAAAATTTTTGTTTCATTTAAATCAAATGAATTAAATTTGAGCTGTTGTGTATTTCTGGAGTTGAAATGAGTGTATGTACAAGATTAAGAATACTTTAATGTTAGACTGCCATTAAAATTGTGGATATGCCCCATTAAAATTGTGGTTATGCCCACAACAGATTCATTAGAAATTTGAGACACGTGAAACAAATGCTTAGGGAAAAGGAGGAAAACGGAGTGAAGTCATTTAAACCTTACTAATTACAAGAATCTAAATATTTCTCATTTGCCATAAACTTTGAAGCACTGAGTGACTTCCCCAGCTACATCCTTTTAAGCCTAAAGTGCTTTTAGGATGACTGCTTGATATACAGTATGAGATTCACAACCACTTTAGCTGCATTATAGTTGCAACTTGAAAAGTGGTCACATTTAAATAGTGAACTGCTGTTAGGTCAGCTTGTAAATAGATTCAGACGGGACACCACGAACACACTGGCTAGCCGAGTTAATCCACCAAGTAGGAACAGACTATTCTTAGTGCTTGCTATATTAAGAATTTTTACTTATATATTTTGTTTTGAGTGAATACCACTGCACATATGAGGTGCTATGTGACATTCCAGTGCATATACAAAGCCTAATGATCATATCGAGGTAATTAGTGTGTTTCTCATCTCTAACATTTATTGCTTCTTTGAGTTGAGAACATTCACAGTCCTCTAGGAGCATTTTGAAATAGACAGCTGTCATCAGTGGTTACCTTGCTGTGCTTGGAACATGAGAAGTTACTCCTCTTCGTCACCTACACTCCTATATTCACTCATTGTGCTCTCTGCTCCTTCCCTCCTGTACTTTGTATTAGAGGCTCTGGGAATCCTACCATATACTTTGATGAGAATATTCCAGTCTTTGTATTGAAAGAAACTTTTTGAATTTCATTGAAGTCCTAAATCAGTGAATTAATTATTCTTGATGATTTGAATGACTTTTTGATAATTTTGGGTCCCAAATACTTTAAACCAGCTTTTTTTCTTACACTTTTTTGTTTTTTATTTTTTCTCTTTCTTTTTGTTTAGTCTCATGCTTTGTTCTCAGGTCTAAGCTATCCATGTTAAAGGGAATTTGATGATGATAAAGTTTCAGAGTTGAAGGAAACCTGGATTAAAAAAAAGTATTTGTTAATTCTTTTTGGAAAGATAAACACACGTACAAGAGGGTAAGCATGGCTGTCACGTGTACCCAGTAAGAGGTTTTGTTTTTACCAGGGATCAAACTCACAACCTCACACTTGCCAGGCAGGTGCTTATGCTACTGAGCTAAATGCCCCAGCCCTCCTAGTAAGAGGTTTTGATTAGGTTTTTTTTTTTTTTTTTCTTTGCAGGTGACTATTAAGAATATTGAGAGAGAGCTCATTTGCCCAGCCTGCAAGGAGCTGTTCACCCACCCGCTGATTCTCCCTTGTCAACATAGCATCTGTCATAAATGTGTGAAAGAACTCCTGCTGACTCTTGATGATGCCTTTAATGATGTGGGGTCAGACAACTCTAATCAGAGCAGCCCTCGACTTCGACTTTCCTCTCCTAGCATGGATAAAATTGATAGAATTAACAGACCAGGTAGGTAGCAGAAGGACTTTGAGGTGGAGGAGCTTAGAGATACATGTTCAGTTGTAATCATGGAAGGAAAAGCTATTTTTTGTCATTTCAAATGTTAAATTTTCAGGTAAATATGGTTACACAGTGTTCCCCTTCTTTAAATGTCAAAATGAAGTCATCTTTTTACCTTTTAACATGCACTCAGAGCTTAAATACTGAACATAGATTTTGTGCTAAAGTCTTCAACTGTGCCTATAGTTTTAAGAATTTTCGAAACCCTTTGTGATATTATAAACATAAAATAATAGAATACTAGGAAAAATCCACACACACTATAGCATGAGAGTAAATACTGCAGGTTATGATGGCTAATCCTAGAAAAAACAATTTTTTAAGTAACCCTAGAAAAAGTTTTAGACAAATTATTTAATGTCATTCTTCCTGATAATTTTATATTTTTACCCATTTTAAGTCCAGTTTTAAAAATAAGGATTTTTAAGTAGGTGTGGTGGCATGCATGATTGTAATTCCAGCACTCTGGGAGGCTGAGACAGGAGGATTTCAGCTTCAAGCCCATATAGGTGATTTAGAGAGACCTAGTCTCAAATAAAAAAGGGTTGGGGATGTAGCTCACTGCAAAGGTCCTGGGTTTCATCCCCAGTCTCCCAAAAGGATTTTGAACATCATGAATCAGCAGAACTATGTAATAAGGTACACAAGTCAGTGTAATTTCATGTACAGCAAGCATATATATCTTTTATTATGTGACCAATGTTTAAATTATGTCCTGTTGAGATGATGTTACCTTTTTTTCTGTATAGCTATTATAGGATTAATATAGATCAGAACTGATTTAGTATCATTGGAGTTGCTAAAATCCTTAGTATAAAAGTCAGAAATAAAGACCAAGGTGGGTGGAAGCCCTGGGCTCATGGGAATCATGCCCCATGTGTAGAGGACAGTATGTGTGGCTAGAAGTCCAGATTTCAGAGCTTCCACTCTGCCTGCCTCCAGGGTAGGTTTTTTTTTTTTTTTGAGACATAGTCTCACCATGTAGTTCCGGCTGGCCTGGAACTCCCAGTCGTCCTGACTGAGCCTCCCAAGTGCTGGGATTACAGCTGTATACCACCACGCCCAGCTTTAACTCTGAAGTTTCAAGTTTAATTTATTTTTTGTCTAGATCATCAGCTTATTGCTTTTATAATATCAGAATAACTTCTTAATCTTGGCAATTTTTTCATAAAAGAGTCTTCTGAGTTGCATTTTTTAAAATGTCATCTTGGTTTTTTTGTTTTGGTTTTGGTTCACCATCTGATAGAGTCTTCATGGATAGTATTTATGTGCTTCAGTGCTTCATCAGAATCAATAAGAGTAATTTGTTTTAAGAATTTTACTATGTTATTTTAAAAATGTGTTTTTCTTTAAGCACTTGTCGTTAATTACATGCCAGATATTTTGCACACCATAAACATTACATGTATATACCAAGCAAAAGTTTATCAGGCAGATTGCGGGCAGATGGGGAGCTCGAGGACAGAGAGCACTGTGCTGTTTATGAGGTCATTACCGTAACGTGTTTCTCACTGCGGTTAACGAGGAGGGGAAGCAAGACCAGTCATCCTACCAGAGAGCACTTGATGTTCCCTTGGTAACTCTTTTGACTAACTGGGGATCCCTGCCTGATTGACCAAAGAAAATTTACTTTTTGTATATTAATATTCAGAGCATGCAATTAAGTGGAGTAGTATTTCCACCAATACTCACATATTTGGTCAAATCTGTTCTTTTATGTAGGCTTAATCTTCAGATTTGGCTACTTTTGTATATGATTTATACAAAGTGTAAAGAGAGCTAAGGAACAGACTTAGCGCAGTCCTCTGTAGGTGCTGAATATTTATGCAGTGACAAGCCTCTGCTACATAACTTATAAAGAGCTCGCCATAATGACTTTGTTCAATCATAGTGACTATTTTGGGGGAACAAGAGCTCTGTTCCCACTGTACATGTCACTGTCTAGGGTTAGAAATAGAATCACTGAGATGGTCACTTCCTTCTTTAGGAAGACCTATATGATGTTAGGTGATGGCCTAAAGGGAGACAGGCTGGTAAAAGAGTTTCGGAGCTTTTCTGTGAATTACAGTGACAGGAGAAAAGAACGTTTAACATTGAGGAGGGTAACTCCAAGACATGATTGTAGTCTCGTGGGTGAGGAATGTACTCGCTATCTTTAGCAGAGGTTCTGGATCAATGAATAGATGGAAAAAAAGGCATATTTTTAACTTAGCATAAGAGAAAACAAGCACAAACTTCCAAAGATTGCCCAGAAATAAAGTGGGCTGCTCAGTCGTATCAGATGCCTGTTCCCAGAAGTGTTTAAATCCAGTGTCAAATTTAGATACTGCAGGGGCCAAAAAGGTATATAACTGAAGCAAGACCCAGGCATACTGAATAGGAAAAACTTGTTTTACTTCTTTTGTGCAATAGCTGTGGTTTTTTTTTTTTTTTTCCCCTTCTTTGGTGTAATAGACAGGTATTTTCCCATTAGCTCAGCTGCTATAAAAATCAGCAGTTCATGTTGCCAGCCATCTGACTGTAGGCCTCTGTGTTGGAAGCAGCAGTATGGCTTGGGACTGTGGAGACCAGAAGTGGGCAAAGCCACTTGGCACCAGTCTTAGCGCCCTTCTCATGGGTGGGACACAGTGCCCAGCTCCCACAGCGGTAAGAGGAGAGGTTTGTGTGAGCTCAGTTTGTAGAGGTTTCAGTCTGTGGTCATTCATTCTAAGGCAGGGTGGTGTGGCAGAGGAAAAGGAGCTCATAACATGTCAGAGAGAAAGAGAGCACAGAGAGAAGGTTCGAGATGATATACCAAGGAGCAGAGAAGAGAGAGACCCAGGTGACCCCCAGTGACCCGCCTCTTCTGACCAGATCCCAGCTCCTCACATCAAGTCTCCTGTAAGACCTATAATCCCGTCACCTTCCAAAAGCACCACCTATGAGTAGGTGAGCCTTTGGGGGAACATCTGGATACATAAACCATGATAGCACTGATGGGTTTTCTGGGATCCAGTGTCTTAGATTGGTGACACAGGCACTGCACCAGTGCAGCTTTGACTCTGACTGACCCACTTTTTGACCATCAGTGTTTGCAGTCTTCATTTAAAGAATGGATTGGTGTCCACCGTATGTAAATGACATGGGAGATTTCTGCTTTGGGCGGGGAGTTGAGCAAGTGGTTCTGTCATCTTCTATACTTTTTTTTTTTTTGGTCATTTTGAGATAGGGTCTCCCTGTGTAGTTCAGGATGTCTTTGAACTCACTTTGTAACCCAAGCAGAGTTTGAAATCATGGCAATCCTCTTGCCTCAGCCTTCTGAGAGCTGGGATTACAGGTATGCACCACCATGTCTGCTGTCTGTCGTTCTCTAGATCTTCTCCAGCACTCTAGTTCTGTGCCTTACTGAATACCAGCTGCATTCATTTATTCATTAAACAAATACTTGAGTGTCCACTGGTTATTAGACATAGCTAAATACTTGAGAGTTAAGAATAAGATAGATTCGCCGTTCCCATTTTTTCTTCCCCTTTTTTGTCATGCTGGGGTTGACCTCAGGCGTAATGCGTGCAAAGCATGTGCTTTATCCCCAGGCCTGATCTGTCCTTTTTAAAAATGCATGTAATAATAGCCTAGCATTTTAGATGTTTTACTGCTGAGCTAGTCTCGGCTTCCATATCCTAGCATTGTCAAAAGCTTTGTAAGAGGTGCAGAAACATGGTCCTTCATCGAGGTCAGGTACAGCCCAAGTCAACAGGTAAAGTTAGAGCACTCAGCAGGGATGGTGCCCCGTACTTGGTAACCACTCCTAGTGTAAATGTTAGTATTACTTTTCACGTGCTCACCAGTTTTAAACTACAAACTTGTTGTCCTGTAATATGACTACCCTCCATTTAGTGTGCATTCACCTATAATTTTTTGATTAGATTTACAGATGTGTAAGTAGTACACCCTACTCCCTACTTCTTTTCTGATAAGAGATTTTTTTTTTTAAGTCAGATAGACAGGGAAGGAAACCAGGAACCCTGTTTTATAGGAATTGCAATGAGAAGGAGAGAGTTCTAAAAATTAAGTTTAATACTTCAGAAGGTAAGGCTTAATAAAGGATTATACCTGACCTGTCCACAACAGTAGCCACTAGCCATTGACAGCCATTGAGTATCTGAAATGTGAGTGGTCTGAATTAAAATGTGCTGTAAGTGTAAAATGCATTCTGAATTTTGTAGACCTTGGATAAGAAGATTATAAAATATTTATTGATTACATCTTGATATTATAGTGAGTTAAATAACATATCAAAATTAATTTTACTTGTTCCATAACTTTTTACGTGGCTATTGGAAAATTTAAAATTACTTTATACTTTTGGCTCGTGTATTTCATTTGGATAATGCTGCCTTAGTCAGTCATCATCAACAAAGATGAATTCTGAATGTTTTGCACTGCCAGCTTCATAAACACCATGTATACTGAGAAAAACACATTTTTATGGTTAATTCAATGCTAGAACTATGTGCAGGATAGAGTTACTGCTGTATCTTCTGTTAAGAAGTTGTGACTCTTGTTGGAATGAAATTCTAAACCCCGCTTTCTGTTCATTATTCACAGCTTTGTCACAGCGGAGATCTTTGGGGTGGAGAGGTAGATGCTTTGTTGCTTTTGTGGCCGCAGCCAGCATAGCGTTAGATTTAAACTAAATTATCTTGTGTATGTATGTGTAAGATTCTTTAAAAATCAGTGGTCAAGTCCGCAAACTTACGTAGAGAGTTTTAGCAGATTGGACTGATGTGACTTAAAGGTCAACAGGACTAAATTTCCAAGCAAGGGGGAACATAGATTATTAACACTTGTATTTGCTCACTGTATATTACAAGACGTTTCTAAAGAAAATGACACCTGCTCTTTTTGAGTTTTTGAAATACAGTACCTGAAAAATCCTTTACGTTTACTTAGTGGGACAAAGTTAATATTAACACATTGGGGAGGTTAAATATATATTGGAAAATATGATTAACGGTGTTGATAAATTTATACCTAATAACATAACCTTTGCTTCTTCCATGCATGTGATATTTTTGTTGTTAATGTTTTAAAGCACTTGGCATCAAAATTTTAACACAGATCTTACCCACTAGCAGATAGATAGACTTTTTGAAGTATTGAATTCTATGTGAAGAATGGACCAACTTACATTAAAATTTTATTTTTAAAAAAATTCCAGTTGACCTTTAAAGTAAAATTTGCTACTTTTTTGTAACATACTGGTGATAACCCATTCCTTCCTTCTTTAGAGAACAAAAACACCTGAGAGGTTATCTCTTTCCTGTTTTCCTCCTGTCCTTCTGTATCTCTTTAAAAATCTTACAGCCATGTCTAGAAGCCATGTGGAATTTTTTCAGTAAGCCTTTAGGGAGAATGAGGATTAAAAATGTTTTAACACTAAAAGTGTTAAAATGTAGTAATGAGAAAGAGACATAACAGTTTTCTTAAAAGAAGTTAATTTCTCACTACCTGTTTTTGATTTAGAAGGTAGCTGAGAAAGTTTTTGCAAGTTGAAGAATGCTAATACTCAAGAGTAAATGTGAAGCATAGGGACATCAGATGGTCAGAATGTGCCACCCCGTTGTCGCACACCTGATGCCCTGGAGGAGCAGTCCATCCAGAGGCCTGGTGCTAAGGGCCAGGTGCTAAGGGGGTGTCGTTTGCAGCCAGCATATAGGGGAAGATGCAGCTGCCACAGGTTTGGAACCTGTGTTAAGTTGCCTATCTTCTCTTTGTTTTGAAATACTTTATTTCTTCTTTGATATTTAAAAGGTAAAATATTAAAAGCTGACCTGTTGGGAGGATTTGCTATAAATTAATTTGGGAATATTTTAAACATTGAACCTTGAAAGCGTGCAGTCGTGAGTTCAATCTCCGGTACCAAACAAAAACAAACAAAAAAATTTTTAAAATTATGACATGCTTTTGGTTTAATTTTGTAGTTTGCTTTTTTCCTTTTGTAGTGTAGGCTGCTCTTGGATTTGCTTATGTAGCCCAGGCTGTCCTCAAACCCATGGTGACCCTCCTGGCTCAGCCTCTTGAGGGTTGGGATTACAGATGTGAGCCACCACACCTGGCTGTTTAATGTCTTTGAACTAAAGCTATGTAGGGAAAGGAACAGATTGTGGAAATTACAGTGTTTGTTTACTGTATCTTGCAAATATCAGGCCCATAAATTGGCCAGTGTGTGGGCTCTGTTTTTTCTCTGCTTTTGCAGTCTGATTAGTTTTCTGTTTCATTATGTCCTGTACTATCCAGTAAATCTTTTTATGATAATTGAAAAATTTAACCCCACACCCTACAGTGTGGTAGCCAGTATCCCCAAGTGTGGCTAGTATAACCAAAGAACCCGATCTTACGTTTTATTTAATTTTAATTTCAACAGTGATGTTAGGTAGTTGTATTAGATAGCACAGATAAAGTTGAAGATTGACTGTTACATTTTAGTTTCACTTTTTTTCATTAGATTTACTTCCCAGAATAGCCTTAAGTCAGCCTGTTTTCTTTATTTTCTAATATTTATTATTTCTTTTTATGAAAATAATGGTGGAAGACGATGAAATATGTTCTTTATCATTTATAAGAAAAATTTGAGTTTTTAAGAGCTACTCAAAAAAATCAACATATTTATTCAAATAGTGAAGTAATACTCACTTCTTTATTTAATATTTTGTTTGATTGAATAAGTCCAATGTGATGCTTTATACTTTGTTTTTAACTGTAAAAACAAGTTAACAGAGGTTTACAGAAAAAGGATGAAACATCTTTTTTGACATTTAGAGGCCAAAATTTGGGTATCACCAGTATATTTATTAAAGCACGATTTTACTATCATGCTTCAGTTTTGTTTTGTCTCATTACTTAATGGAACATACCCTTCATAAAAATCAGTTCTAGCCACGCCCTATTTTTAACATTGAGTGTTGGGATGAGCTATTCATTGTTTAAATTCCCATCTCCATATTCATGTGTGGAAGCATGCAGGTAATTGGGAATTTTCGTTTGTTTAAACTTGACCACTGCACTGTTTCACTTCCAGAATGGTTTGGCTTGTTTTGAACTAAATCGTTTTCATTGGCATGTGTTTTAAAAGTAGCTTTGCTGCTTGTTTCATGATTTGCCTGCTGTGGTATGAAACATCTTGGACTGTGTTGCATGTACTTAATATCATTACACGAATATATGTAGGGTAGGATTTTCAAATTTTAATGGACAGTTACTTTGTGTGTGTTAATGTTAAGATGTCTTTAAATGGGAGATGGTAAAGTATTCCGCATGTTTGTTGCATGAATAGCTTTTGGGACCCAATGCTATTTTAGCATGCTAAAAGACTTTTCAAGTAAGTAAAATTGTGGCTGATTGCTGAATTTTACCTTTAGTGATATCAAACCAGGAATCTTTTAAGATATTCTTTTTGAGTAATCCTATGCGAAGGTAATATTAATGTAGCTATTGTGATTTTTCCTGAATTGTGGTATGTTAAGTTTAATCATTCATTTAGTTACTAGAAGGCTGTAGCTAAAGAGGTTTGTGTTTATACTAAGGGAGTTACTTTGAGACAACCAAGATTATGTACTCTAATAATGTATTTTTAAGTGAGAGGAAAGAAGATGGTATGTATGCTCCAGTGTTAAAATGCAGTTTTGGGTTCTGTGAACCAGTGAGTAAGGAGTGTCTGCCTGGGGTTCTTGATTTGTTAAAATGAAGCTGGTAACAAATTACTTGTATGCCTTTGGATAGCATCGCTTCCTGAATTAAGTAATCTTAATGATTCTTTCTTTCAGGTCATAAGAAGATATTAAATGGTCGGTCCTTTTTAAAGTTACTAAATGCTAGGTCTATGAATGAGGTTTTCACTCTTCTGTAGATTGTACTTAACTAATGATCTTGTCTACTGAAGTTTTCCAGATAAAACAATACTACAGTGGGAAATTATTATAGAGGTTCTTAAAATTTTTTTGTTCACATATTCTTTTGAGACTGTTATAAAAGTTACAGTTCATTTAACCAGAAAATACTTATGTGAAAAATTTTGCAATTTCATAGAGTTCACGAATCTTTCTGGTGCCTGTCCATAGACCCTGTGTTAATGACCCTGGCTCTGTTATTTGTGCGCTTAACTTCCTTTTAGCTAAGGCACTTAAATACATAATTATGAATGATCCTGATCCATGTAGTATTGTATTATATACTTTATATCTGGGATAGCATGTGTTTTATAGGGGATTTACTGTAAGGCTTTTTTTTCTCTTTGATAACTAGTAATTTGAGCTTATCTTTTGTTTACTAAGGAAAAATAGTTTAGAGAAGCATTGTCAGAATACAAGTTGATAGAAATGGAAACTCCTTTGATATTTTCTTTTTGGAATATCTGTCTATATCTATACCTACCTACTTCCTACCTATCTATAGATGGATGTAAATATGTCTTTCTAAAACATGACTCCTCTTTTTAAAATCCTAATTATTTTCCTACTGATGTGACTAAATGCGTACTTACTAACTCTGCAGGCTGGAAACGCAATTCATTGACCCCTAGGACAACTATCTTTCCCTGCCCTGGCTGTGAGCATGATGTGGATCTTGGAGAACGAGGAATCAATGGTCTGTTTCGAAATTTCACTTTGGAAACTATTGTGGAGAGATACCGTCAGGCAGCTCGGGCAGCCACAGCCATCATGTGTGACGTTTGTAAGCCACCGCCTCAAGAATCCACCAAAAGTTGCCTGGACTGTAGTGCAAGCTACTGCAATGAGTGCTTCAAAATTTATCATCCTTGGGGAACTGTGAAAGCCCAACATGAGTACGTGGGCCCCACCACTAATTTTAGACCGAAGGTAAGTTGGAATATTACACTTCATGTTACAGGCTAGATTATTATGAGTCTAGAATTTGATAGGAAGAAGCAAGTACAAGAATTTAAGGCCTAGTCTTAGTAGGAGTAATTATTTAGTATGGGGGTAAAAAGCTGTAGCACAGAAGGTAAAAACTGCGTTTTGTTCTATAATAATACAGTATAATATAATACAGTAAATGAGTTTTAGAAGAGCTTTAATAGAAATCTTGTGTCTAAGATTTTCATGGCTAAAGTTGAAAAGCTTGTCTTTTAGTGATACTCATATTTACCTATAAGATTTGATTACAAAATATTTTTCTGCTATTTGTAGTTAGCTAACATTGTACTATGAATCAAGAGAAATTACAGGCTAATATTTTGAAGGTTGTGATAAAGCGATTGTAAGCATCTCAGGTGAAATTTACATTTATTTAACATTCTGGTTAATTTGTTTGGTAATGCTAGCAAGAACTTTGTGTATTGTTGTTTGCCCTGGTAAATGACTGAAAAGCAGAATTATTAGATACCTTCACTTTCTGATTTTTACTTATTTATTTATTTATTTTTGTGTTTTTTTGAGACAGGGTCTCACTGTGCAGTTCAGGCTAGCCTTGAACTCACTGTGTAGCCCGGCTAGCATTTACTGTGAGACTCACAGTAAACTTCATGCCTCAGCCTCTCAAGTGCTGGAATTACAGGCATGACCCACCACGCCTGGCTGGTTTAAAACTATAATTGATTCTTTTAAAGTTGAGAGTCTTCATTTCTAATAACTTAATAACTTAGTAAATATGAATATATAATTGCATTCTTGAACATAATTTTTAGTGAAAAAGGGAAAATCTCGAAAGTTATCTCACAACTGAACTAAGTATTTCTTACATCATATTAAGTAGCATATGACTGTAGATTAAAACAACAATAGGCACTTTCACTTTTTTTTTTGGTCTTTTTCATTTTTATCGGTACCAGGGATCGAACTCAGGACCGCCTGCTTGCAAGGCAGGTGCTTATGCTGCTGAGCTAAATTCCCAGCCCTGCACTTTCACATTTTGAATGACCCTTTTCTCAAACTGGATATAGATTCATCAAATAGATTAATCCTCTATTATGTTTTAGAGGCTCATGGTTATTGATTTTAAAAAATTTTATGACTTTCACCTGTTTCAGTGTTTCATTTAAAAGTTTAAATTCATTGTTATTCTATTATAAAGGAACTGATTATTAAATGAATTATTGTATGCTTGAGTTTTTTTGAATTAAAGATTTCATGAAATTTGCATGTAAATTGTATTTCTATACTTTGTATTTTACAAATATAATGAAAGATGGATATGAGAAAAGCAAAGAAATATGATTAGGCTACGTTGAGAAAAATAGTTTTCACCATCAAGCAGTTTGTTATTCGGTGCAGTACAGTTCTTAAAAGTAAGACTCCTTTATGTGCTAATAAGCTCTTTAATCATTTGAAGAAAGCCATACTTTTTGTTTCATATTAAGTGTAATTACTTTGAGAGTGTAAGAATTGGGACATTCTGAAAACTTAAAATCATGTCCAATTCTTTTGCTCTGAACCTGTGTATTGGGATTTAACATATCCAACTGTTCTTTATTTGCTTTAAATATCTGAAAGTTACCAAGCACTTATAATTACCTAAAATCTAGACTATTGGAATGATAAATCTTTTTGATTTCATGTATAATGAATATTTCCCTTGTTCGAAATTGAAATGATTATTTTTACTTTCGCTTTCAAACGTACCTACCATGACTGTTTGCAGAATAAAGATGCAGATGCTTAATGAAATCAGAAAACTCAGTTGTTTTTTTGCTTGTAATTAACTGGTAAAAGCTAGACCTTGGAAGCTTGCATCATAAAGTGTTCTAAGATGTAATTGATAAAAAAACCAATACCTTAGAAGCTTATATCATAAACCAATCCAAGAGTCTCATAGTGACAGGCTCCTTGTTAGATAGTTGCATCATAGATTCTCCTAGGTTGTCAGAACAAAAATATTGATTATGATCATGAATATTTGCTGCTTGGTGTGGTGAGACACCTTTCTAACTCATTAAACATCTCATTTGCGTCTTTCACTTTGTTATTATCCAGTTTAGCAGAAATAATACCTATTGTATTTAAATTAAATTTAAAAATTCAAATTGAAAACTAATTCTAATGCAGAGAACTATATTATTATATCAAATATTTTTATTTGTATACTTTTATTCATTTAAATGGTTTTAATTTTGGGGGCAGATGGTCTTTTAGTTATTATCAGGTTACTTGAAACTAAGGTTAACCATACTGTTATTCTTTATTCAACAGATTTTAATGTGCCCAGAACATGAAACAGAGAGAATAAACATGTACTGTGAATTATGTAAGAGGCCAGTTTGTCACCTCTGTAAGTTGGGTGGTAACCATGCCAACCACCGAGTCACCACTATGAGCAGTGCCTACAAAACCTTAAAGGTAGGACTTAGCCTATAGCTTTATGCCTGTAAGTTTTTAATTATAAAATTATGGTTTATAATGTGGTCTGTTTTACTGAAAGGAGTTAATAATGGAAAGTGTTTCTTAATCTTTTAAGGCTAATTTGCTAGTGTTTCTAAGGAATAGTTCTCTGGTCATGGTATGTTAAAGCCTGCACTGATAGCTCTGAGCTCTGAGGAGGGAGAAGGGGGATACCGAATACGAAAGACACACTTTGAAGGACAGTAGCTATTTTTTAAGTAACTTGATTCTTATTTCTTACCTGTAGAATGGGTGTAACCTTTTTTGTTTATTCTAATTGGGATCGTTACTATCTAAAACTGAATTATTTCATCTCTGTTGATTGTATGTAAGAGCATTTACAACTTCTGACTTTGATAATGAGTAACAAAGCAGGTAGTGGTTTCATTCTTTTTTTCATTTAAACCATATTTTAAAAATAATCCATGAATATTACCATCCTTTAAAATTATTTCTTCTATATATGTGTGTGTGTATATATATAATACAAAACCACACACATCAATGTTATAAAAATATATACACACATATGTTTTTGTCCAATATTTTAATTGTGTATATACATGCTTTTGTATTTTATATCTATGTCATGATCACTGTTTACTCTGTCTTCCTTGAATGTAGGTGAAATTGTTTTATGGTTCTTGTCTACTAATTCTTTAACCCATGTTGTTACTAGGTCAATTTTGTTTTCTTCTTATTCTTGTCCTTAATATTTCCCTGCTGATTTGCCTGCCTGGTAACTTGACTGGCTGTTAGGTGTTGTAAATTTTACCTTGTTTGGTGCTGGATGTTTTGTATTCTTACAAATATTCCCAGGTTTTCCCTGGATATGTAACTATTTGGAAATAGTTTTGGGTCTCGGAGTTCAGCTTTGTTAGGCGAACAGATCAGTAGTTAGTTCTAGGGCTAATTTGACCTGGGAGTGTAGGGAAAGCCTTTGATTACTCTTTCTGCTGCCCCGAGATGTGGGGTTTTCTATGAGTGCTGCTCCGTTGGGTCATTCTTGTCGAGGCTCTGGCCGTTACTTTGTGTGTGTTAGTTGATCAGTGTGTGGCGTGGCATATCTCTGCACTTCATTTTTGGTGTTAGGTCTTAAAATTTCTGGACTCCTCCTACTCTGGTCTCCTCTCCTAAACTGTGGGAGACCCTGGGCTCCATTTGCTTCTCTGCTGAGCCAGACCTGGGAAATCCATCTCCAGACAGTGTGCTGTGGCAGTGAGAGGCTCATCTTGTACTCCAGCTTTCAGGGATGGTCTCATCCTTGTTTTTCACTGCCCAGTCTCTTTAGAGCTGTTTTAATGTATTTTGTTAGGTGGATTCAAATGGGAGAGTAAATCCATTCTTTGTCACCATCTCATGCTTTGACAGCCTGTCCTACATAGTACTATTTATGATTAAATTTTGCCTTTTTTAGTATTTCAGTTTCTTACAGGTTTAATCTTACACTATGCATTCTTTTCTGCTGCTTGTTATAGGTCTTTGACAGTAGTATACACTTAAGCTATTGTGTTGAAAAAACAAGCCATGCTTTTCCTCTGCTCTCAAATTGTAACAGTCAACACAAAAGGCTTCTGTGACCTCAGAAAATGTGAAAGTCTCACCCCGCCAGCAAGTACGCCATCAATTCTGTAGCATACACCAGCTGTAGCTTCCAATCCCATTCATTCTGACCCTGTATACTTGGAAATAGCATCGTCTCACGAACTGAGGGCTCAGTACCCAAACACCTACCCCACTTCAGACACCATTCCAAACCGCAGGTGCTGCTGCTTTTTTTCAGTTTTGTTTTGTTTTTTAGACAGGATCTCACTTTCTAATTCAGACTAGCTTTGAGCTCACTATGTAACCCAGGCTGGCCTTGAACTCACAGTGATACTCCTGCCTCAGCCTCCCGATTGTTTTAATAACAAACATGTATCACCACGCTCCGCCCAGGTACTTTTTACTGCACAACTGTGAGTTTGACTGATTGATTGTAAGAGAGGGTTCCTACCCTCTGTAGGTTCACTTAATCTCAGTGGGTCACAGAAGCCAAGGAAACACTCATGTAACATTTATTGATTTATCATAAAAGGGTATCACAGAAGATAAAACAGGTGCATAGGGTGAGATCTGTGGGAATGAACAGGGAGCTCCCATCCCCATCTGGTTGTATCACCCTTTAGGACCTCTGTGTGCTCAGTCACCTGGGAGCTCTGCAGGTCTCTGGCTTTTAGTTATTTACTTACTTTATTTTATTTATTTTGTGATACCGGAGATCACACTTACAACCTCGCACTTGCCAGGCAGGCGCTATGCCACTGAGCTGTATGTCCCCAGCCCTATCTGCCCTTTTGGGTTTTTGTGGAGGACCACTAAGTGTTTAAGATTCTGTTTTACCTGGAAAAAGGCACCGTGGTTAGGTATTCACTGTCTCTCTTTCAGCCTGGCTACATCTCTACATGATGCCTTTCCAGAAGCTATGGACTAGAAAGGTAGACCAGAGATCTTGATTGCTGAGAATGAACAGAGAAATAGAAAAGAAATTAAAACAGAATTTGATACCAGAGAACGGGGGTCATTGCTATGACCCCCTGACCATGTGATTTAGGAGTCTTTGAAACTGGCTTATGGGAAGAATTTGGAAAGGTTGGAAGATGCTGGCCCTGGAATGCCTGGGGCTGTATTTGATGGGAGATTCTAATCAGAGCTCAGAAGACCATAATGTTGTTAGAAATGCTGCTGGTAAAGACCAGACTTGGGAGGTTTCCATTTAGAAGTAGCACTATATTGGCTGCTGGACTCCAGATGATGTGTGTTATGCTTTAGCAGAAAGTTTGTCAGCATTTTGCTCTTGTCCAGAGACTTTCTTGCCTGAGACTGATAGTAAGGGCCATGGATTAATTAATCTTGCAGAACAAATTTCAAGGCAGTCTAACATTGAGGTGATGGCATAGCTACTGTTGTGGACTTTTAGTTTGATTTATGTTGAAAATAAAGAGCCCAGCAAATTGATTCAAAACATTGTGAGTCTGGCCAGAAAAGAAGCTCCAGTAAAGTGACAGACTGCAAAGATGGAATAGAGGAAAAGTTAATTGCTGAGAAGACTAGCAAGAAAAGGCCAAGTGTTTCAGAAGAGGGCAGGAGAAAAGATGGCCTGAAGACATCACAAAAACCAACAGGACTCCAGCCTCTACAGCCTCAGAGTTGCAAAAGATGAAAGACTTTGCTTTGAGAAGATAACTCTAGAGCGCTATGTCCAGAATGTTGGCAGCCTAGAGAAGTTGTTACTCGGGATTTGGTTCATAGGCACTCAGCCTCTACAGCCAAAGGAGAAGAAAGCCTGGCTACTTCTCCAGCTGGTGCAGACCTTAGCATCATGTATGAGGTGCTAAGAATACAAAAGCTGGGGGGTCAGGATGGCTTCTACCCAGATTTCAGAAGAAGGCCCAAGAAGCCGGGCAGTGTTCCCTGAGAGGGCAGTGTGTGCAGCTGTGAGTGCAAAGCCGAGGTGCAGTGGAAACCCCAGCAGTTTGGAGAAGCCATTACTGTGGATCATCTGAGGACAATTGCAGTGATGGAGCAGAGCCACAGAGCTGGCGGAGGGAGAAGGCATGGGAGTGTAACACCAACACTGCCGTAGGAGTACAGCCACTCAAGCCCTTTGGAGCTCACATCTTGCCTCAGATGCTGCACATGGAACTACAGGACTTAACGTTTGTCTTGTTGGATTTTGGGCTTGCTTTGGTTCTTTTTCCTCCTATCCCCCAATTGTACCTTTTGGAATGGTAATTTTTATCGTGTGCTGTTGTATGTTGGAAGTGTTTAACTTTCTGTTCATTTGTATAGGAGCTCACAGCTAGAAGTTTGCGTTAAATCTCAGAGGAGACTTTGGACTCGAACTTGTCAAACTGTTAGGATTTTGGCAGGTCCTGGAGATGGACTAAATGCCTTTCACATAGAGAGAAAAGCATGCATCTCTAGAGGAAGGGACATGGGCAGAATGGCTTGTATTTAGATGTTCCCCAAAGTCTCATGCAGTCACAGATGGGACTTTTTCAGAAGTGGCTGGGTCTAGAGTGTGTGATGCTGGGATTCATGGTGCAGTGCTAAGATTAGGGGTGTGAGTGCTGTCTGCTTTAAGGGTGAGTAACGTGGATGCAATATAAAGGACAGAAAGAGGCTTGCTTTTGCTGCCTTCTACCGTGGACTGTCTCTCCTCTATGATGCCACCCTGCTTTGCAGCCAGACAGTGACACAAACTGTGAGCCAAGTAAACCTTTCCTTTTTTAACTTTGGGCGTCAGGCACTTTGTCTCAGCAACAAGAGAAGTAACTAAGAGAGGTGTTAGCAGTGGGGATGAGCAGGGAGCTCCCACCCCATTCGTCTGTGCCATCCTTGAGGACTGCTGCCACCTGGAAGTCTGCAACTCTCTGCCGTTTGGGTTTTAGTGGAGGACCACTAAGGCTTTGAAATTCTGTTTTACCTGGAAAAAGGCACTGTGGTTAGGTTTCAATATCTGCTCCTGTTTGACCGCATCTCTGGATGATGCCTTTCCATCTTTGGTGGCTGTGAATTTTCTCAGCTCTCAGGCACCACAGTTCTCATTAAAGGAGAGTTGGGTTTTGCCTCATCTTAATTTTGTTATAGTTAATGTCTGTAGCAGTTAATATTTGCTAAGCAATGTTTCCTAAGGACATTTTGCTAGCTTTGTTTTTCATTGATAATTCCCATAAATTTCTAAGGAGGTCTTAAGATGCTTCTTCTTGTGCTGGTATCTATGCTAGAATGATGGCTTTGATTTTAGACAAGTTACTAACAGCTAGGACCTTAAACAGAAAATATGAATATTCCTGTAAACGTCTCAATAAGGAAGTAACTAATAAAGTACTTGTATTTTAGGGTGTGTAATCAAAAATGTTTCATTGTATATCCTTTCTTCCAAATATTTTATTCTGAACGTTTTCAGAGGTAGAGCAGAGCTGACATCACCTTTAAAATTGTATATTCTCAGGACAAGGACCACTGGTAGTGTTCTCATAGGCTGCTTACCTAAAAGATACTTAGTTGTGATTATTGATGACTGCCTTCCTCTCTCTTTGATTGGGGACATGATTGACATAAGGACACAGTGGTTTTTAAACTTCGGTGGGCATTGGCCTCACCTAGGCACTTGGGACAGCTGCAGAGGCTGGTCATGTCCCTCAGGGGGCCTGTGCCTCTGAGTTCTCCATCAGCACTCAGGAGCTCAGAATCACACTGCTGTTTGAAACCCACTGTTCCAGAGAAAGTCTTCTGAGTAGTGTCAGAGTCTTGAGAAAGTGGCCTCAGACCCATTCTATGATTTATTTAAAACTGCTTTCCCCATTGGGTGAGGTTCCTAAGGGTAAGGGAGCTTGTCTTTTTACGTTTTTCTTTTATTGCCATTGCTTGGTGGTGGTGTCTGATACGTGTCTGTTTTTTGGAAACCTATGCACGCTTGGACATTATGATTCTTAGGTAAAATAGATCAAATCTTTTAAAATATTGCTGAGGTCTGAGGGCAGTTGAAAGGCTGGAGCTGTCTCAGATAAAGTGTAGGTGGCTGGAGTCTATCTAAGCATTAAAACTTTACCAGAAGTAAATAAAAACTTACCGGGAGTGTTTTAGGACCATATTTCTGAATCAGTTCTCTGGGTCTTATCTCTTTGAGTCATTCAACCTATTTTAGGTATTTTCTACTTCTAATTTGAACTTAAAACTAAACCTTACTAGAGCAGGGCGTGGTGGCTCACGCCTGTAATCCCAGCACTCGGGAGGCTGAGGCAGGAGGATCATTACGAGTTTGAGACCAGCCTGGGCTACAAAGTGAGCTCAAGGCCAGCCTGGACTGCAGAGTGAGACCCTGTCTCAAAAAGGCAAAAAAAAAACCCAAAACAAAAGTAAGCCTTACTTCAAATTAAATAGCCAAATTTAGCTTTTTGCTACTGTAGTTCAAACAGACTACTGCGAGCCGCACCTAGTACTTCCAGCCGCAGCCTCCCCACAGGACAGCACAGTTTGGAGCTGTCACTGGGCCTGCAGCCTGTGGGTGGTGTGGTGAGGTGTCTAGTTCAGCTGTTTAGTGTGGGATGTTTGTAGTCAGGGTTTGGCTTCCTCCTTGGTGAAGAGGTGCCGCACTGCGTGCGTCTTCTTTCTCTCACATCTCGCACTTCTTTAGCTCATCCGCCTTCAGCACCGCTCAGTCTCGGTGCTCTGCCCAGCAGGTCCTCCCTGTGTCTTCTCAGCGAGCCCTCAGGAAGCTCACTCTGATTTCTGGCGTTCTTGGGAACACAGATGGGTCTTGCAGAGCCTGCCACTTTCACGTCTGTGCACATTCTCTCCTCCTCGTACGTGGTCTGAGTGGAAAGAGGAACACAGTATGGGGAGACTCGGGTTTTCAGTTCCTAAAGCTGAGTCTGCCCCACCCTCCCCACCGCAGTCCCCACTGCAGAGCTCCGCTCCTGTGAGGCCACAGCTCTGAGAGGTCCCTGGGCTTGCCTACTCTTCTTCAGACTGCAGTCACATGCATTTGTTTTAACTCTACCCCACTGTGTTTTCAGGGCTTTTGTTTTTAGTAATATATGGGTGTGTCACACAGTATGTTTTCTGGGCCAGACTGGGGACTTCACCAAAACCCATGATAGCATTTCTGTATGAAATTGTGCAGATTTCAGAATGACTACCTTATAAATAAGGTATTCAGTAAATTCTGGAAATTGCCTATTTGATTTTCATTAATGTATATAGTTATTTTATCAGGGGAATGGCCAAGACCGCCAGCTGGCTTGTATGAGGAATATGGCGAAAGGATGAAATAGACAGAGACAGATTTAATAATGTGTGACGGGGGCTGGGAGGTCAGTGCCCGGGACAGGCAAAGTCAAAGGCCCCCAACTTGTCACTGTTTTTATTAGCCAGCGCGTGGGAGGGGTAGGAGTGATTCCAGGAACGGAACAGTCATGACCGAAGGTGGGCTCCGGAAAGAACAAAGCATTCTTGCAAGGGTGAGACAAGAGCCAGAGCCGAAACTTTTACTGCCACTACTGCATTGCTTTAAAGATCCTTGTCGTCTGCAGCAGGTCTTGTCCTGCCTGCCCTGTGAGCCCACAGCCTCAGGAGCCCTAGGGCTTCAGCTCTGAGCAGGAGGAATGGGGCATTTCCTTGTTCCAGCCTAGACTCAGTTTATCATTTGTGGTTCCCAGTACTGTTTAATGAGCCTCTAGAGTGGGAGAGGTGAGGAAGATGATGTTGGACTGCTTTTTATTGCTTTTCCTATAGCGGATGATATGAGCATAAATTATAAAGTCTGAGAAATGATGAGACTGGCCTGTGGCCTTTCCATTTACTTCGTCTTGGGAAAGAGAGTTCTGAGAGTGGTAATGGAGCAGTAAAAATCTATTCATGTACATGTGTAGAAATTTGGAATAATCTAAACATCACTGCCTTATTCTTTTCTTCCAGCCTGCTTTTAATTTTTTATCTATCCTTGGGCCTTTGTGCTTAAAGCCAGTAACTGTTTACTCAGGGTTAAGGGGGTTAATCACCAGAGCTGATTTTCCTGCCTGTCATTATGGAGGGTGAGTACTGGATAATTAAAAAATAATTACACAAAACCTTTCTTAAACTTTGTGCTCTGAATTATGTTTCAACAGGAAAAGCTTTCAAAGGATATTGATTACCTTATTGGTAAAGAGAGCCAGGTGAAGAGTCAAATTTCTGAATTAAACTTGTTAATAAAAGAAACAGAGGTAAGTAACTACCTGGTTTACATAGTTTCCACTTGAATTTGACACTTGATTTTGACAGTCATTTATTTATTCATAAAACCCCCAAAAGAGTTTTCTGAGCTGAGAATGCAAAGTTGTTTTAGAACATCATCCCTGCTTCTCTGGGACCAGGGAAACGGCTGTGAAAAGTCGTGGGGCAGCCAGGTGTGGTAGCGCATGCCTGTAATCCCAACGCTCCCTTAGAATTTGAGCCCATCCTGGGCTACAAAGTGAGCTCAAGGCCAACCTGAACTGCATAGTGAGACCTTGTCTCAAAAAGACAAAAAAAAAAATAATTTTTTTAAAAAAAACGTGTATTACAGTGTTGTGGCTGTAGACTGTGTAATGGCTGCAAAGTGGAAACTGTCTAAATACAGTGTCCATGAATGGTGGGGTGAAAATAAAAACAAGAGTGAGTGATCCACAACTGCACACAGCAACATAGATGAATCATGCCATGGTAAAAGGAAACTCCAGATACAAAAGAATATATATTACATGATGATATTTATTAAAAAGCACCCAAAAACCTGGGCCTGGTGGCATATTCCACTGATCTCAGCTGCTTGGGCGCTGAGGCAGCAGGAGGACTGCAAGTTTGAGGCCAGCTGGGGGGACTTAGCAAGACCTTTTCTCAGCACAAAAGATGAAAGGGGCTGGAGCTCAGCTTAGTGACAGGGCAGCTCTGGACTGGATCCCCAGTCCTAAGAAGAGTCCAGCAGAAGGTAAAACTAGTTTACGTGAGAATTGAAGATGGTCACCGTTGAGGAGGGGGAATTAGCACCTGTGAAGGTTAGGAATAGCTTCTGGGGCACCCATGTTTAATCTGCATGCTGGTGCATGTGTGTGTTTTACACAGATTTATTGATCTTTATACTTCCATGTACATTTTTATTTATTTTATTTCAATGAAATAAAAATGAATAAGCCTCTTAAAAACATGGTAGAAGAGAATTGTGCTGGGTCTCTTTAAAATTCCAAATATTTTTCACTGGTTATGATGTATAATGACTTTTATAATAAAATATAAAAATCAGTGGCATAAGTGCCTGCATGGCAAACGCAAGGTTGTGGGTTGGATCTCCGATACCAAAAAAAGAAAAAAAAGAAACTCTTCTTGGAATTTTTTTTTTCCCAAACTGATTGGGAAATTGTGTGAAATTGTGTGAAATAGTGTGAATTAGTGCCGTATTGCCAGCTTTCCTTTTTAAAAAATACCATTTTCCTGACTGTGATTGTGTTTACTATTCAAAGTATTAGTGTTTTTCCATGTAATTTAAGGGGAATTTTTTCACATTTTTGCCTGATTAAATGATATCTCTCTGGTAATCTCCCAACACAAAGCAAACTGTTAGCTGGGTAGTGGGTAGCTCTGGGGACTGTATCTGTGGTCATTTGAGATTTATCATTACCAGACTCCTGTAGTCGCACTGCCTTTACTTCTGAAATCGGGGAGCCCCACGTTTGTTTTTGGGGTTTGTCATCCAGTAGGTTAAAAATTGAGGAACTCGAGCATTAATGTTCATAGAGTAGTGCGTTCTTCCTGAACGAGTGTGAGGTCTGAGGGACTAAGGTCTGAGTTTTCCTCCTGCCTTTGCCGAGTTGCATTTGTAGGTTGCTAAACCTTCCTGACAAGTGAGACTGTCCTGCACTGGGGATGTATTGGTCTCTGTTCTTCACTTCTGCTCAGTGAAGAGGCTGACACTGTCTTTGCTCCTGCAATTACATTTAGCAGAGAAGCTCTTCTCATATGTGTACATGGTGTTTCTGAGCCTACTGTGATGTGTCATTGAAATTCTGTCGAAGTACTCTCAAAGTCTTTTTCTACCCTTTTCCTTTCTAAAAGTTTCTGTTGCAACTAGGAAATAGCAGGGAATCTGGAAAATTTTTCATCATGCATGTTGGCCAGAAGCCACTGGCAAATGCACAGTGCATTGCTGCCATATATTGTCAGCGTTTAAGAATGTTCTTACAGGGTTTTTCTGTTGGCCTCGTGAGGCGTGCTTATCAGTGCTGCTGGTCTCGCTTTTCAAAATCATATTGAACTCTGCTTTTATAGTGATTCAAACATTTAGTAAATACTACAGAGAATCGTTTTATAACAGTCAATAAACTATGCATGTACTTCGCTTATTTATGGTATGTAACATTGTAGAATTTTGTGTAAATCTTCAATCGTTATAAAAACCTTAAACAACTTCTCCCAGTTTTCTGGGGAGGATGCTGGGCATTGAAACCACTCAGCACTCTGTGCTAGGCTACATCCCTAGCCTTGTCCATGGCTTGTCCAAAAGAAAATGGCATGTGTAGAGAGATTAATTCAAATGAGCTCATAAAACAGAGTCAGGGTTCAAACTCTAATTAAATTAATTTGAATAAGACACTTACACTTTTGTAATAAGACACACTTTTGTATTTCAATGAGGAATGTAATTTAGTTTTGTAGCTGTTAGTTTGTTTTAAAAAAGTATTATATATGAAAGGTTCTTGAAATTAAAATGAATACCGTACAAAACTCTAAAAGTAGGTTTTACTCTGGGTAAATCAGGTTTTTTTTTTTTTTTTTTTTTGTCTTTTTCATTTTTATCAGTACTGGGGATTGAACTCATGACCGCCTGCTTGCAAAGCAGGTGCTTATGCCACTGAGCTAAATCCCCAGCCCTGGTAAATCAGTTTTTCTGCTTCAGATTCTTCTATATGTAACTGAAAATTGTTATTATATAATCAAATGAATTGTCTATTGCTGATCTTTGGAAATAAGAAACGTAATGAACGTAATATTATAAAACATAATATTATAAAAGTACAAAATAAGTTTTTTTTTTTTGAGACAGGATCTTGTTTATAGTGCTGGTTGGTCTGGACTCACTGTGTAGCCCAGACTGAACTCAAACTTGGACACAATCCTTCTGCCTTAGCCTCCCAAGTGCTGTGAATACAGACATGTGACAGGATTGCCCGTCAGGTCTTACTAAAAGTTGTCTGTTCTCTACCGAGTATATTTGATGCCAGACTGTTTTTTTGAAAATTTCAGAGTGTGACAGATTTTTTTCTTTATAATACCTAGATTTATTTCATTAAATTTTACTAATTATAACCTAAGTGAAATATAATTATGTAGAACTTTGTGAAGTAACATTTGGTAACACCTGTACTTGTTTTTTTTTTTTTTATAGTGCAATGGAGAGAGGGCCAAAGAAGAAGCAGTCACACATTTTGAAAAGCTTTTTGAAATCCTGGAAGAGAGGAAATCATCTGTTCTGAAAGCAATTGACGTCTCTAAGAAGCTAAGATTGGAGCGATTTCAGACCCAAATGGAAGAGTATCAGGGCCTTCTGGAGAACAACGGGCTCGTGGGATACGCGCAGGAAGTGCTGAAGGAGACGGACCAGTCCTGCTTCGTGCAGACAGCAAAGCAGCTGCATCTCAGGTGCTCACTGCCCCCAGACTCCTTGGTGCGGTGTCCTGTACCGCCGTGCACCCCCTTCAGCGCCAGAGTGGCGTGCGGTCCTGTTAGGTTGCACTCTGTGCTCCCCCGTCGTGCGTTGTGCTGAGCGGAGCGTCAGTTTTCTTTTTCATCACCTTGCAGATGTTTAGTCTGATTTGACTTTTTAAAGAAACATATTTATCTAATGTGTGTCTATCTGCAGAATACAGAAAGCTACAGAATCTTTGAAGAGCTTCAGACCAGCAGCTCAGACTTCTTTTGAAGACTATGTTGTTAATACGTGTAAACAAACAGAAGTTCTTGGAGAATTGTCCTTTTTCTCCAGTGGTAAGTCTTAGTAAAGACAAAGCCCCATTGTGTTAGCCTGAATTTATACTATCTAGAAAAGGCACACAATTCTGTTTATTTTGACATTAGAAAGAAGTATCCCAGTTCCTCAAAATCATCATATCCTAAGATTATACAGCATTTATGTTTTTATGATGATGTTTTTATACACAAAACTATATTGTGTTAGTTTGTGTATTTTTATTTTTATTTATTTTTTTATCAGGGATCAGACTCACAACCTTGTGCTTACCATTTCCAGTTTTAGGAATTTAGGATAAGAAAGATTTATGTATTGTGCCAAGATTTAGTTGTGATATTTATCTTTTTTTTTGAAGGAATAAAACCAAACAAAATAAAACAGAATAGTCAGTCAAAACAAAACAGTGATCATGGTACATGATTGAACTCATGACCTCATGTTTGTCGGGCAGGCACTTACACCGCTGAGCCAAATCCCCGAGGTACATGACTTTAAAACAAAAATACAAGGAAATCAATAATGGCTACCATAATGCTTCTTGTTATCTTCAAAAAACTTCACATACCATCAGGCATAATAAAATCAAACAAAAGAGTACAGAATAAAACCAATAAAAACAAAACAATGGAAACAGTACAGGATTGCAAAACAAGATAATAGTAAAACCACAATGGGTACCATAATGCATCTTATCTTCCAAGCAGTTGCCTGTATCATCAGACATGATACAGTCAAACAAAACAAATAGAATAAAATCAGTCAAAAGAAAATGAAGCAATACAGGGTTTCAAATCAAGCTAATAGAAAATGAGTAATGGCTACCAAAATATATTTTGTTATCTTTGAAATAGCTGTCCATGCCATCAAATATAGTTAGATTAGACAAACAAACAGAATAAAACCAAACTAGACAAAATAACAAAAACAATATGGATTTCAAGTCACGATAATAGATTAACAGTGGTCACTGCCTTCCCTCTTTAGACACTTCCTCCCCTCTCACTTTGACAAGATATATTGTGCATTTTGGATCCCACTAACTCCTTTACTTTATACTAGGGAGGCAGCGCGCACACACCTATGTGACTATGAGCCATTTCACCCCTGAGCATGATCTCAAGTTGTATCCTTTTTTTTTTTTTTGTCTTTTTGAGACAAGGTTTCACTATGCAGTTCAGACTGGCCTGGAACTCAGTAATCCTCCTGCTCAGCCTCCCTAATCATTCTGTTTTTATTGAAATATTAGAAACCTGTTTCCCATAATAAATAAATGTTGTACTCACACAGTGGAAATTTTCAGGGGATAATAGTAGGAGGAGTTATGTAACTTTTTTTTTTTTTTTTTGTCTTTTTCCCTTTTATCGGTACCGGGGATTGAACTCACGACTGCCTGCTTGCAGGGCAGGCGCTTACGCTGCTGAGCTAAATCCCCAGCCCCATGTAACATTATTTTAATGATTGTCTTTCAATTAAAATTTTTTGTGTTTTCTTTAGTTTCTGGTTTTCAAACAGTATGTATCACATTTATACTAAAATTAAACCACTTTGCAGCTCTACAAAAGATGAAATGAAATTATGTAATATTCATTGAGATTTTGGAACAGTCACCAAACTTTTTAAAAATATTACAATAATATTTTGTATGTGGGGCAGTGAACATGAAAAAGTTCTAAGCCAAGGCCAGAAATTTAGCTCAGTGGTGTGTCTGCTTGGCAAGTGCAAGGTCGTGAGTTTGATCCCTGGTAACAAAAGAAAAAAAAGTTTAAAGTGCAAAATTGGTATTCAGTACATGGGAAAGCACAGATAAAAAATATGGTTCATGGTGTTTCAGAATTAATGATGGTAATATGTAAAGCTATATAAATCTGAAGTTTTATGTCTTTTTCAATTTTTTCTCATTTCAGTTATAAATACAGTGTACCATATTTTACATTTTTTTCTTTGTTTCTAGTTTCTTTTTTATTTTTATTTTTGTTTTCAAATTCTTTTTCTTGTGCAGTATTATAAGTTTACGTGGACAGTATGGAAATCATTGTCAGTACATCATTTCACTAAGGAAGAATACAAGTTTCAAAACAGCAGTATTTTAACATTGTTTTTTCTAATGCTTTCAGGCATAGATGTGCCCGAAATCAATGAGGAGCAGAGCAAGGTTTACAACAGTGCCTTGATAAGTTGGCACCATCCAGACAAGGACAAGGCCGACAGCTACGTTCTAGAGTACCGGAAGATCGACAGAGATGAGGACCTGTCGTGGAGTGAGCTCCAAGTGTGTGGCACAAGCAAAGTCGTCTCAGACCTGGAAGACAACAGTCTCTACGCTTTCCGCGTGAGAGCGTACAAAGGCTCCATCTGTAGTCCCTGCAGCAGAGAGCTGATTCTTCATACTCCGCCTGCTCCAGGTACTGGACCGAAGGTGGAAAAACGGCTGTTGCTTTGTGAAGACCAGTACAGGAAAGTAGTTTCTGTACCGAGCTGGGACTTAGAGATGACCTGAATAGTTGAATGTTACCCTGTAGGCTGAGAGCAGGATTAGATTTTGATAGGTTTTAATCAGAGAAGAGCACCAGAGGAAGATGCTTGAGTGAACAGAATTGGGATTAAAAATAGCATGAACACTGCCTTAATGTTTAAAATGGTATAATTCAATTTTTGGTCAGTTTATAGAAATCTCTAAGCTGTATCTGGGAAGATTGTGTGTATTGGTGTAGCATCCTGAAGTTCCATTTTGATTTAGTTTAATTCTGGGTGCCTAGGCTTTCTGGCTCACTTGGTGTGATTCTCGACACATGGGGAAGGGTGTTAGCTTCGTTCCCCCATTGAGAGTTCCATAGGCCCGGGCGCCTTCCCTCCCGCTTCCAACATAAACCCCACTGATACTAATTACAGAGTGGAAGTTTTTATAGAATGAAAATGACGCACAGGGTAGGCATGTTCACAATTCTCCATGGACAAGGAACATTTAGAACTAAAGTGCTGAGCTCGGTCTTGTGAGCAGGACGACATTTTGCCTGTCAGTCAGTATTGGAAATTTCTTAGGTTGGTTTTAGAGCTTGTTGTCCCTTGCCCATGTTTAGTGGCTTGTGTATCAGTATTTTGTGTAGCAGGTCCTTCCCTCTTTTGTTCAGAGTAGAATAGTGTGCTACCCACTACGTTTTTCAGGTGCACTATGGCTCCAAAGAAGAAATTAAAATGTGTATGTAGTGGTCTGAAATTATTTTTCTTGAATTTTAATAAAATCTAATAGCTTTAGGAAGAGCCTGCAAGTATAAAGTAAGTATCTTACGGTTTATACTGTTTCCTGTTTCTTTTCTGATCTCTTTAACCGAAAGTGAAAGCAGAAGAACCCTCGACATGGTCGCTATTTTCAGTGACATTCTTGGGGTGAGGGAGAGGAAAGGAAATGTAACAAGTTATCTTCCTTTTCTCTGAGAAGAGCCGTATGACCAGGGGGACCTTTACACTTATGGGGTTTTGGCTCAGCTGCATAAGCACCTGCCTGACCAGTGCAAGGTTTCGAGTTCAATCCCCAGTACCTGCCCCCCAAGTTATAGGGCAAACTGGGAGATTTTGGAGGTTGAAAGGAAGCAGGAAGAGTCAGGTCTGAACTCCAGGCATTTCCAGAAAGCATACTTTGCCTACTGAAGGAGAGCAGCGTTAGCTTGTTGGCAGCCATTTTTTTAATTGAGGTGCACTACAGATGAAATTCACCATTTTAGTCACTTTAATATGCTGTTCAATGGCCTTAAATGCATATACAGCACTGTGTGACTGTTATCACTTGCAAATCCAGAAAATTTTGATCAATTTAAACTGAAAATCTGCACCTATTAAACAGTAACTTCCCATTCTTTCTCATTCCAGAGACTGGTAATTGACCCTACTTTTTGTCTGTGAATTTTCCTGTTCCCACCTACCTCATGTCAGTGGCCTTGTGTGATATTTGTCCTTCCTTACATGGTTTATGTCGTTTCATTCTTGGTGTAGCTTGATCAGAATATCCTTCCTTCTTAAGGCCTCATTTAACTTCTTCCTTCTTAAGGTTGGAGGTAATGTTTCCACTGTGTATGTATACCTTACTTTCCCTCTGTTCACTTGTCTGTTGATGGCCTTTTGCATTGTTTCTGCATTCCCTAGCAACTGGTGTTACATTTAAAGAATTTGAGTTGACGCAAAATACAAGAGTGTGGTTACCGCAGCTCTGTAGATGAAGAGATTAAAGTTTGGGTCAAATGCTACTGAAAGGTTTGAACAGGGCTGCAAACCTCCCTCTGACTCCAAAGCCCATGCTTGCCTCCCACCTCCCAATGCCACCAGGCCTCCCCTGTGCATTAATTATTTTCCCAGCACTGGGATAGAATGCCCGACACCCACCACCAGCAGAGGCAGATTTTGGCTCACAGTTTCAGTCCCTGGTCTGTGGTCCGAACTGCAGAATCAGGCTGCAGAGGAGCACAGTGGAGGAAAAGGTTCTTGGTCCATGGCAGCGAGGAAGCTAATAGCAAAGGGAGGAACTAGGAGAAAGATCACCTCCTGACCAGACCCCTGTCCTCACAGCACACACGGCTGTGAGCTCCTCACTGTTTTCACCCCCTGAGGGGTATCGCACCCCATGTTCCAAGCCCCTTCCAGAAACCCCACACTGCTGAACACATGAGCCTTTTGGGGCAATGTAGTTCTGAAACAAAAGATCATGTCTAACAGGTTGATTCGATAAACAAAAGACCTCATTAAAAATAGCTAATGTTCTCTGACCTTACAAAACTTGGAGTATTTTTAAAAATGAGTAGGTATTTGGTAAAAGGACAGATGTACTCTATGAAATATCTATTTCTCTATTTCAAAGAGATGTATTTACAGACTTTCATATATACTTAAAGTTATTTGCTGCTTCTGACTTTCTGAAGGTTTTCTGGTATAGAAAACATAATGGAAGTTATTAGTAAGTAGAAAGTTCGGTTTGACATAGTTGTCTGGAGGGGCAAGATACCTTCCTCTTCCCTTTTCTTTTTAGTAACATCTGTTTGAAAATATATCAAGTTGGAAATGTGAATAAATAATTTTGAGGCTAACTTCAGATTAATTTTTAGCTCTTTTTTTAGTTTTCAGTTTCCTCTTTGACGAGAAATGTGGTTATAATAACGAACACCTCTTGCTAAACTTGAAGAGAGACCGAGTGGAGAGTAGAGCTGGATTAAACACTCTGCTGGCTGCAGAACGAATCCAAGTGGGTTACTACACAAGCTTAGACTACATCATCGGAGACGTTGGGATTACAAAAGGGAAACACTTCTGGGCCTTCCGAGTGGAGCCCTATTCGTACCTGGTAAAAGTGGGAGTTGCTTCCAGTGATAAACTACAAGAATGGCTCCATTCTCCCCGGGATGCAGTCAGCCCAAGGTAAGGCCTTGTCTTCATCTGGAACTTAGGAATTATTTTAGAAGTAAATATTCTTGTTTAGCAGGGATAAACTGAAAATAGAATTGGATTTCTTATTTATTTGAAGTACATATTCGTTTGATTTAGGTATTTGGGTTGTGCTTTCGTGGCTAGTTTAGGAAAGGAATCAAGTTGCCTTTAATATACACATTGAGTAATGAGATTTATTGGTTAAGTTCTAACCTAGTAGGAATAGCGTCAAATCTTCTACATAGTACCTAAAGTAAATCATTAAAAACCTTTTCATTCTTTTTATTGGTACATGTTTGTAGTACTAACGATTGTGTTCATTGTGGGGAGTTGGTGCGTACACATAACACATCTTTTTATATCCTCTTGTCATCCTTCATCATTGATATTGTTTTTCTTTTGTGATGAAATGCAGTTTCTTTGAACTTTCCCATTATGTCTGTCATAGAATTGTGTTCTTTTTAATTTTTTTTTAAATTGTGTTCTTTTAGACATTTTCCCACAGCAAATAATTTCAGTTTCTTGAGACTAAATAATTATAGTTTAACTTCTTTTCTGTGGGTTAAAATAAACTAACCTCAGACAAATTTTGGTCATTTGTGTAAGCAGTAGTCCAGATTAACAATCTGACAGGAAACACTTTTTGCACAGATACATGAAATTTACATAACACCGAGTAGTATGGAGTTGTGGTTAGACATAGTGGCAGGCCCCATTGATAAGACATTGGTATTAGTGGTTAAAAGTTTCTTAACACGAAAACAAAAGTTTGTTATGTGAAGAATGCTAGAATCAAAACCTGATTAAAATTGCTAACACAGTATATCATATATATATATATATATATATATATATATATATATATACACACACACAAGCTATGCATAAGGAAAAAAGAGAAGGACTGTATGTATTAAAATTTATTTTATAAGAGAAGGAGAAACAAGTTCACAATCTTTTCATAATGTAGAAACCTCAATCAGGAGATAAGTTCTCAAAAGGATAATTAAGCAGACTTTTTTCTCATGTATTATTTTGCAGTGCCTGTTTATGTTACTTAACCTGAAAGCTTGAATTAAAGCATAGTATTTGAGTTTTCTTTTACATTTGTGTGCCATAAATGCTTATTCATTCCCTTCTTCCCTGCTTAATTTCCAGGAAGCCAAAGTTGTTAATTCAGTGTTTAAGTTCCATTTGTATTGATTTCTAGGTAAAGTGGATAAGGTCTTAGGATAGGGAATTTGGGGCTGTGCATGTGGTATAATTCTAAATGGGAATGAGCCACCTTCATCTTTTAACTGTGTTTTAATGGGCAATTTTACCATAAAATTTAATTGTCACTTAAATCAATATACAGTATATTGTGAACATGACTTATGATGATGAAGATGCAGGTACTGTGCTTGTGTGCTGTGTTTCAGGTATGAACAAGACAGTGGGCATGACAGTGGAAGCGAAGATACCTGCTTTGATTCTTCACAGCCTTTTACCTTGGTTGCTATAGGCATGAACAAATTGTTTATACCCAAGTCACCTACTTCTAATGAACCTGAAAACAGAGTTCTTCCCATGCCAACAAGTATAGGAATTTTCCTTGACTGCGATAAAGGCAAAGTGAGTTTCTATGATACAGAGCACATGAAATGCCTCTATGAACGCCAGGTAGACTGTTCACACATGATGTATCCAGCATTTGCATTAATGGGCAGTGGAGCAGTTCAGCTTGAAGAATCTATCACTGCAAAATACCTGGAATGCCAAGAAGATATGTAGTCTCAGTATCCCGTGTGGAAAATGTGAATGGTACAATGCTTCGGTGTTAGCCTTGGTAACTGATTCCATGTCATCAAGCCTTCTGTCACGGTACTTGTTTGTAGTGTGTGATTCTTCTTAAAACACAGAAAACCTAATAGCCTTATCTCTTCCATGTTGTTGTTCTGCCTTTCATGGAAGATTTCAGTGAAGACATTTTTCCTAATTAATACCGAATGGTTAAATTAGCAACTGGATTGTATTATCTGTAGGCACAGGGAATCTAATTTATTTATGTCAGCTGATACTGCTTATACAGTGTGTATGGGGGTTGGAGGAGGTATATAGAAGTATTTATTATGCTTTTGTGTTTGACTTCTCATTTTTGTATCATTTATGTCTTAAAGATATTTTTAAAATGTCTGTGAATAGAAGTTAGCATTAAGAAGTGTGTCTCACATTTTAAGTTTTAGTAGGAAAACAAAGCTATAAGTAGGTTTTTTTGAAAGGCCATAAAAATGCTGTATGCTTGAGTGGAACATCATGTACTTTAAGTGTGCAACAAACTATTAAGAGTATATCAGCCGGACTACTACTGGCTTTGTTTCGTTTGGCTTGTAGGACTGGAGATTGAGCCTAGGGCCTCTGCGTTACACTCCCAGATCTTTATTCTTTTTAATTTAAAGACAAGGTCTTGCTAAGTTGCCCAGGCAGCACTTGAATTTGCAGTGCTTCTGCCTCTGCACCCCTCAGCTCTGGGATTACAGGCATGTGTCACCATGCCTGGCTTGTGTTGTTTGTTTGTTTGTTTTAAAGACCACAAACTGTTGATAAGGATTTTTTTTTTTTTTTGGTACCAGGGATCGAACTCAGGACCTCATGCTTACCAAGCCAAGCACTTGAGCTCCTGAGCTAAATCGCTGGCCTGATGAGGACATTTTTAAAGTGTTTCCCTTAGCTGTTAGACCTATTCACCGGCATATGTAATAAGCATGGGTTTTTGTAGAAAACATGAAATTCTTGGCTAACTTATGAAACTTTTCACTTTAGTTTTTAAAATTAATCTTCATTTTTCCTACTCTACGAAAATGTGTTTACATCAAAGAATTATTTTTCAGAAATATTAATGAAGATGGAATATTGAAGTCGTATTTATTCTTTTGTGTTCCTCTGTGTCTTGTGTTTTTCGTTTTTGGCACAAATGTTCATGTATTTCCTGGTTTATGTTTACAGACCTAAAAAGCTCATGATATATTTTTAGTAGCATTAAATGTATTTCAAAATGTGGAGCAACTAATTGGTTGTATGGATTTTTTACAGCTTATTTTTGGTAATAAGAATCTAGTATAAGCAAACAAAGAAAAAATTTATGGTGTAGGAATAGTAACTAAAATTCTAATCATTGTATCTTTAAATATTGACATTTCTTTTCATTGGAACAATTACCTCTTCATTTTTGAAAGATGTTATTTTAGATAGGTGATTTTTATTTAAACTGTTTATTTTTTAAGTTAAAATATTCAGAAATTATGACTGTTAATATAGCATTGATCAGTTATGGAATGCTACTAACACATTTTAACCCAAGCTCTTGGGGGTGTTTTTATTCTCACTTTTTGAGAGAAATCTGTTATTCAGATCAGCAACACTACATTACACCCCACCTGCACCCAAGTAGAGGATGTCATGGACAATGTGTGTTTAGTCATCATTATTGCTTTCCATCCATGAATAGCACTTTATGACAGGTTAATCTAAGCAATTATGCAGTGTTATGTTGATCATTGTGCAATAAAGCTGCTAAAAGTCAACAGGTGTGGTTAAGTTTAATATTCGAGCTTTGGGTAAGCACATACCTTGTAGGCATTTTTAAATATAAAGCTTTAACAGGAGTAAAGGAGCTGTTTCAAACATTGTAGAGTTATAAATTATTTGGTGGAATTTGTTTTGTTTTTAATAAAAATTAAAAGAAAGCCAAGTGTAATTATTTAAGCCTCCAGGAATTTTTATATGTTTATGTGGAAAATTGAAACAATATTTATTAAAGACATTTAGCTGACACATTAATTTAAAGCTAAAAGCTTTGGGTGCTTTTGATTATTTTGGATGTTTTTTATTAGTTGAGTTCTTGTACCAATGATCATTAAGAAACTTAGCATGGAACTCTTTTCACTTGGTTAGTTGATCTAATACTTTATTTTTTTTTCTTTTTTGGGGGGTACCAGGAATCAAACTTAGGACCGCACACTTGCCAGGCAGGTGCTACACCACTGAGCTGAATCCCTGGCTCTATTTTTTTTCTGATCCTAAGGATTGATTAGATTTTGACCCAATGAGTAGTCTCCTAGTTCACACGCCTGCTGTTCTGTTAGGAATTCCAGGAATTGTGGTTGTCAATGGATCACAACAAGTTTTTATTAGTGCTCAATGGGTCTTAATTTTTTTCTTTAATAAAATAGATTCAAGGGTGTTCCTAAATAATTATTCTTACTTCATAGTTGCTTTTGTTTTTTAAATAGTAAGAATTATCATCTTTTGGAATCTGGCATAATATAGATATGTTTAAATCTTTTGCCAGAGTTTATAATCTAGACTCTGCGCAATAGCAAACTTAATGCTATAGAAAACAATTGAGAGCCAATTTAATAGGCAAGAATGCTTTCAAGAAACTATGCTCTCATTGAGAAGATTTGCATTCATTTAAAGCAGTTTGCCTGCTTAGCTGTGATACTATTCTGACAATGCAAGGTTTTTTGTTTTTTCCATCCTAGGAATTTTGAACTTAGGGCTACTAAGTTAAATCTGCAGATCTTTTTATTTTGAGTTAGGATCTCACTAAGTTGCTGAGGCTGACCTTGAACTTTGATCCTCCTGCCTCAGCTTCCCAAACAGCTGAGATTACAGGTATGTGTCTGTATACCTGGTGTCCTTTTTATTTTTAAAAAATAGATTTATAGAGTAGTTTTAGCTTTGGAACAAATTTAAGAAGAAGGTAGAGAAATTTACTGTATCGTCTCTGGGTGCACACAATCATGGGCTTCCACTATCACACCCCTTCCCAGAGTGTGGTGTATGTGTGTCAACCGGTGGGTTTACATTAGCACCTCATGTGAAGTTCATAGCTTGCACTAAGGTTCACTCGTGGTGGTTTATACTCTGTGGTTTTGAACAAATATTACTTGTTCACAGTAGAATTGTACAGAATAGTTTCATTGCTCTAAAAATCCTCTCTGCATGCTGTCTGTTCTTCTGCCCTACTCTCTCTAATCCCTTGAAAACACATGTTTTTACCATTTAGAGTTTTGCCTTTTGCAGAAAATCTTTATTTGGAATCATACAGTATGTATAGTTCTTGGCTTCTTTCCCGATATGCATGTAAGTTTTGTCCATGTCTTTTGTAGCTTTGCAGTTTGTTTCTCTTTGGTGCTTAATATTTCATTATATAATGTACCAATTTATCCATTTGCCTGTGGAAGGACATCTTGCTTCCAAGTTTTCACAGTTACAAATAAAACTGTTACAAACGTCCATGTGTAAGTTTTTGGATGGACATAAGTTCTCAGCTCTTTTGGGTAAATACCAGAAAGATCAGTTGTTGGATCATATGGTAAGAATATGTTAGTTTTTTAAGAGACTGCCAAACTATCTTTCAAAGTGTCTGTAACATTTTCCATTCTCTAATTGGGCTTTTCCCCCCTTCTGTCTATAGTTATTAAAGATTGAAGTACTAAAGAGTGATTGGCAGTTTCGTATGTGAGAGCTTATTGACTGTTGAACTTCAATGTGACCATTGATTGTCATGTGGTAGGTGGCCTTTGTTGGGTCCTCTCCCTGGTCAGTATCTGTACGTCCTTCCTCAGGATGTGCACTTTCTCTAGCGACGAGACTCTTGATCTTCCCTGTGGATAGTGCTTCTTCAGAGCTGTGCTGGGGACTGAGCTGAGGTTCCATTATTCTGTAAACAAATTCTGCTTTCCTGATCTCGCCTGTGTACTTAGTGTCCCTGAGTGAGAGACAGTCCCAGTTTTCTTCAGAATAATCTCTACCCCCTATCTTCCTTGCAAGTTGTTTATGATGGTGATAGTGAATCAGGAGGAGGGGAGAGGTAAACATATTTATGATTTTTAACCACTTTTGTCTGTTTTTAGATTTTATCTTAAAACTAACCATCTATTCTTTAGAGTACACCTTTCCACCCCCACTGTACTTCCCATCCTCTGCTTATTTGTTTGGTTGGTTTTTGTCTTTCTGAGTAAAGGTTTCATTATGCAGTTCAACCTGGCCTTGGGCTCACTTTGTAGCCCAGGCTGGTCTCAATCTTGCAGTGATCCTTCTGCCTCAGCCTGCTTGCTGAGTGCTGGGATTATAGGAGTAATCCCCGTGCTTGGCTCTCTGCTTTGGTTTTTATGGGACTCTTAACTGTTCTGTTTTTTGGTTCTGGGGATCAAATGTTCAGGGGCTGCATGCATGCCAAGCAAGTACTCTATCATTGAGCTACATTGAGCTTTCTCCAAACTTCACACTTGTTTGACTCCCGTAAAATGTAAACTCTATGAAAGCAGGATTTTAATGCATTTTCTTTATTGCTCTGGTCCCCAGATTGGTTTTCAGGCTTATGACTTACCTTTGCCCTTGAACGTGAGTACCTCTAGTCTAGAAATTATACTTCTTACAACTTTATTGAGTTACCAGTTCTGCCACTACCTTTGATAAGCAAATGTTTGATTGCCTTCTTGAAGCATGCCTAACAGACCTCAAAGTTGTCGGTTGACGAAGGGAATTCTATAAACACCCGTGAAGTTGAATACAGTGGACCTGCCTCCCCGGCTGCTTGATAGGCCCAGGCAGGAGGATCAGACTGAGAAGCCAGTTTGCACAACACCCTGAGGCCCCTGAGTGGTGGGGGAGTCCGCAACAGGTTATAAAGCTTAGTACACTGTAATCCATGAAGAGTTGATCTTAGTTGACTTAGATGTTTATAGGTTTATAAGGCGAGAACCCCATAAACACATAATTTTGGGTAACAGGAATTTTCACAGTATTTAGTGCATGTTTGACTTTGACTAACAGAACATTCAATGGAACACATTGCACAAACAGGAATAACATTAGGAAGCCTAACTGGTTTAGGTTAATAGCCGAGGCTTGTCTCTTCGTAACTGTTTTCTTAGACATCTTATTAACCTGCGTGCTTCACTCATCTGTAATAGTTCTAGGACCAAGTTTTTACATAAATTAGGTAACATACATGAAGTAGGTGACAGTGGGGTCAGGTCATGCTCACGGTGTGGGAGCTTCACAAGCGCATCCTGCTTTTAAATAGCATTTTGGAAAATAGCTATTTAGGGTTTCTTTTACGAATGAGAATACATGTACATAGAAAGTCATACTGGGAAAAGTGTAAGTAGTGCGTTTGGCTGTTGCTATTCATGTAGAGACCCAGTTTGGCAGGACGCATCTCTCTGCTGTAATCACCTTTTTGCTTGCCAGGTGGTCCTGGCGCATATCCCAAGCCCTGTAGCACAAAGTTACGAGATCACCTCAGTGAAGCAGATGAGAGTGATACACAGTGCAATAACTTGTTATTCTACCTTGTTATGAAAATGTCTTACTTTTTCATAAAAGCAAATCAAGAATCACAAAAAATGATAGGCTCCATGCTGTGCTTGCCACTGACTTGGACTGTTTCTTAACTGATGTTGAATGTGTGAATTACTTCAGGGAAAGGCCAGGTACATTTTGTCTGACTGTAACCCACCTTGTCTAGCTTAGCATTAAATGCCTTCCTTCTGTCTTGGGGTGCAGTGATGGTCCTGCCTCCCGAGACATGCTTTTGTCCATGCACTGTAATAAATTGCATTTTGTGGAATTCTGGATCTGTTTGCCTCTTTCTTTTATCCCTGGATCCCTTGCACCTTTGTTGCTAGTTCTCATACACCAGGATTGGGTTTTTCTAAAATCATTTGCTTAGCAACCTGAAAACAAATTAGGGGACCAGGGAATATAGCTCAGCGGCACAGTGCCTGCTTAGTCTAGGGCAGTGTTGTGAGTTCAATTCTCAGTACCCAAAACACAGAACTGTATTAATGATTTGAGATGTGATTCAGTTTGTCAGAAAAAAAATCACAAATTGAGATAATGTGGGTTTTTGCTATTACAACAGTGAACAAGTGCTCAAAACATGGAGAAGAAAAAGTTTCATAGTCTGTATCATGTTTAGTACCAGTGTCCAGAGTAATTAGTTCACAGCAGACCTGCTGATGGCCTTCAGTGAAAAGCAATGTGTGCCTAGAGCCACGCTCTTCAGACATTAACATACATTTCACCTGGGGAACAGTTAAAATGCAGAGTGTGGCCCAGTCGGTTGGGGTGGGACTTGAGATTCTGCCTCTAACAAGATCCTGAACCAGGGGTGATACAGATAGCTGGGTTTTGGAGAGCAAACATAGCTCTGCAGGCATGGGTCAGGAGCTGGAGTAGGAGCTCACCTGGAACAGGAATGATCCTGACACAAGGCTCTTGGTATTTACTGGTACGACCAAAATGAGCTCATCAAGAACTTTTGAGTCTTCGCGGGCTTTGAGTAAACAATCACTGCTTCCAAGGTATCATATGGTATAGGAGAAAGTTTGGGCCTCCTGAGTTAAGTGCTGGGATTACAGGGTACCCCAACTCTTAAAAAGCAAAACAAAACAAAAATAAAAAGACTGTTAGATTCTGACCATTTGGTCTTCTGTGATACTAAAATGAGTTAATTCTAAAAATATATCCATAGCTGGTTAAAATTTTTCTTAAGATTCCTCATCTCACAATTTACGGGCTAGGGATATAGCTCAGTGTCATAAGTGCCTGCCTGGCAAGCACAAGGTCCTGAGTTTGATTACCAGTATTGGTTTTGTGACTTAACTACTTCTAAGATAACAATATGTAATTTATCAACTAGTGATTTCTGGGTTTTTTTGACTAGTCATTTCTTACTTTTTTTTTTTTTTTTTTTGAAATTCTGTATTCCACCCTTTTTTCTGTTTTGCTTATGTGTTGAACACTATATTTGAGGACCTATGCCAACCGCTTATGTAAGTCGTATTCCTAAGAAAAGTGTACCATTTTACCTGTTTTACAGGAGGAGACTGAATCAGAGCAATAACTTGTCTAGATATCAAAGCTTATAAATGACAGGTGAGATTTGAATCCACATCTAATCCCAGTGTCTGAAAAACATTTTTTTTTCCTTCCATTAGCTGTTGTGGAGATTGGGTAGGCAGGGTGGCACTGGTAAGGCTCTGAGGCCAGCCCTTCCTGCTGGCAAGTGCTCTGCCCTGAGCTATACCTCCAGCCCTAATGGAAGTGCTCGTTTTTAATGATGGCAGGCATTTGATTGCTGGGTAATCAGGTTATCCGATCTGTTCTTACACTGTTACAAAGAATGCTCTGGGTATGAGATTCAAAGCCGCACCCAAGAGGATGTGCCTGTTTTTGTTTTGTTTTTTATAGTATCTATTTTGTTTAACAAAATAAAAGGAGCATAATTTAAATGACTGCTTTTTGTTAGAATCCTATCATTTCCACGGTGCAGAATTACTGTCAATAGTGCCTTGTCCAGTCATTAGTGAGAATGTGTCCTGTGGCAGTGGCCTTAAATCTTTATTCATTGTTGGCTTATTCCTCACCTTTTTCCTTTAAATTATAAATTAGAATTTTAATTTAATGTGAGTGGTCTCATTGGAGTCTCATTTATGATTTCTGATACTCTTGCAAAGATCTTTTTGTTTTTGTCTTTAGTTTTATTTTAACCAATGGGCATAAAAACCTCTTATTAGAATCCTTAGACATAACACCCTTCAAAGATGGTTTCAGTGTGTCCACAGTTCATTTGTATGCAGCTTGAATGGTGAAATTATTTTATGCTTTAGGTTATTTATGGCACTAGAAATGTTTCCATTGTATGTTGGCCTCTCTATGTCACAACATTACATTTATGTATAGTCTAATTTTGAAGCAACAGAAATGGACAAAACATTGATTTTAAAAAAGTTATCATCGGCTTCCGGGAGAACATGGCGGACAGATAGCAGCAACTATGGAGGCTCTCTGAAAGACACAGCTTAGAATCCAGGAATGGTGCGGAGTGAGGAATCCTAAGCAAGAGAGGAGATATGCCCTGCTGACCCAAGAACTGGGCTGAGAGAAACCAACTGGGAATGCAATCCTGGCGCTATAACAGGAACAGATAAAGCCTCAGCGTGGAAGCTGGAGCCCGCGCCACTGGAAGCCACGATTTGGGTTTCCTGCCACCGAGGCTGCGTCTGAATCGGCTCGGCAGGGAGAGAGATGCGCAAAAGCTCTGAGAACGGGAATCGGTGAACTGAGTTGAGAGCAGGATAGGCGGGAAGCCGTGCATCGACCTGCAGTGAGTCGTGCATCGACCCTGCGGTGAGTCAGAGAAACTGGGACTCTTCCACGATCTAGGAGGCTCCAACAGAGGACATTCTGGGACCGGGCAGACTTGCCGGAACAGGGCGTTCTAGTGACTTAAGTCACATATCCACCTCTCAAGCGGGACTGGTGAGCAGTGCCTAGCCTACGTGACGCTGCTGGCTGAGACCCAGTAGGCTAGCACAGCCCAGGTCCCAGCGCCTGAAGGTGACTCGAGGGGCGGGCCCCACATAGGCTGCCTGGTCCGTAACTCCCTGGTGTGCTGTGGTGGGCGGGAACACCTAGCCAGCACAATTCAATCAGACTGTGGCTGACAGGGAAGGAAGCTGGGCCTCCTATATATGCTTGCATATATAAGGAACAAAGAATATGGGAAGAGGGAGCAACAAGAAAGGCCCCTGAGAAACAGGCAATAGCAGACACTGCACCAATAGACATAAAGCGCTATCTCCAGAGCCTCATAGACGAGTTTAGGAATGAAGTTTATTAATGACCTGAAGCTAGAAATAAGCAGAATAGTTAGAAAAATGCTAAGCACTACCCAAGAAAAAACAGATGGTGGAATGGAAGAACAGAAAAAAGGGAGAATTGTTTGATGGAGAAAATAGAGAAAGCATAAAATACGTGAAGCAGGTTCAAAGAGATTACCAGGAAACTAAAAACTCTGTCAAAAACTGGCATAACAGCTTGAAAGAAACTAAGGATAGAAACTAAGTCCATCTGAACTGGAGGCCAGATTTGTAATATGGGAGCATGAAATGAAAAACTTAAAAATAACAAAGAAAGAAACAGCAGTAATACAAAGACTAGAAGATGATAAGAGGATCTATACTTAAGAACATAAAAGAAGTAGGGATACAAACAAATGAACTACAAAAGCTACTCACAGAAATAATCCAGGAGAATTTTCCTAATTTAGCAAAAGGTAAAGATACTCAGATGTATGAAGCATATAGGACCCCAGCCACCTACAACCCAAACAGAGCTACACCCAGGCATATAGTAATCAAAATACCAGAAATCCAATATAAGAACAGAATATTAAAAGCCGTCAGAGACTAGAAACAGATCACTTACAAAGGAACACCCATCAGAATTACAGCAGACTTCTCGGCACAAACCATCAAATCACGAAGAGCATGGGGGGAAATAATTCAAGCTTTGAAAGATAATAACCTCCAGCTAAGATTGAAATATCCTGCACAACTATCCCTGGAAATTGATGGAAAAACGAGGTGCTTCCAGGATAAAGAGGAACTAGGGGAATATGCAACCACCAATTCAACTCTACAGAGAATACTGCAGGATATCCTAAAAAAGAAAAATACGAAGAATCCAGAAATAGTGGCAGAGAGGCCACAATGAATGGAGCAGAAAACAAAATGAAGAAGACAAACTGACAACTAGTGACAGAAAAAGAGCTCAACAGAAATGAGGCAAAGAAGACTAGATGATAGGAACAGCTATTTTGGAGAAAACAACGTCATAATAGGTAATGCTGATTTAGTATCATCTTGTTTTGAAGTATCAAGCTTTTGCTCTTTTGTCTCCATTGGTCTTAGCATGTTGTATCTTATTGGATTTTATTATATGTGATAGTATAAACAAAAACTTTTATAGACAAGGAGATTATACAGAAACCATTGTTCATTTTCTGTTAGTTGATTCTAAATACCCTGTAATACTGTCATTCTCTTGAATGGTTTTACATTGTTTTGATATATATGATGCTACAGTATACGAAGTTATACTCAAAGATTTCAAGGAAAGAGACAATATGGTAACTTCTTTTATGTCGGGATTATCTTGTGGTAAAAACCTATTTTGTGGGGCTGGAGATTTAGCTCAGTGGCATAAGTGCCTGCCTTGCAAGCAGGCAGTCGTGAATTCGATCCCCAGTACCGATAAAAAGGAAAAGGACAAAAAAACCCACTATTTTGCTTAAATGGTTATGTTTTTTTCTGCACTGTTTTGTTATTATGCCCTCTTTTATCTTAATCTCCATTTTATTATTTACTTTTTTATTTTTATCCTTTTAATTAAGGGAAAAATAAATTAAAAAAGCAAAAAAAAGTTATCATCTAGTTACATACATGAAGGATTAAAAAAAAAAGTTACCATCCAGCAGATTCAAAGTATTTTGTTGGTGAAGATAAAGGAAATAAGGTTCTGTTACTTAAATCAATTATTACCTCATTAACCTCGAAATGAAATGGACTCATGTAGCTCTAACTTAGGGATTTTATTTACTAGTCTATAATAACCCATGAGTTTGATTACTTTTTTTTTTTGCAGTTGTCTGTTTTCCTAAGGATATTTCTAAATGTTTCCAATTTGGATTGCTCTTGAAGAAGGATGTTAGGCAAACTTTTGTATTTACGATTCAGAAGATGAAATACAAAAATATTATAACTCCAAACCTGTTAGATGTCT